GTTAAAGATGAAACTTTGTTTGTAGTATTTCATACTATTTATGTTGTTTAACTACATACAAATATTTAAAAAAAATGATCAACATTGAAATAAAATAAACTCTGCAAACAAGAAACGCAAAAGTGATTTTTAATATAAGTTTATATATCAACTAAATAATCAACAGATGGTAATCAATTGTTCAAAATTGGCACACATCATTGTCATTGACCCAGGTTCCATATGGTGCACATGGAACAGTAGATTTTCAAGGTGAAGGTTATCTGTTCTCAATATCTTGTATGGCCACCATTAGAGTGGCATCGTTATTGTATGGAAGCAATGAGATCTCGAATTGTAGCCTGGGGAATGTTCACCCACTCTGCCTGCAGTGCTTGTTCTGTGCTTGTTGCTGACATGCTCACACTTGTTGAATCGATTGGGTTTAAATCTGGATGTTGTGATTCCTGAAAAAGGCTGTTGTTAGTCTTGTTGTTTGTTGCATAATGGGAAGGACGTGTGGCCGAAGAATCTCATCCTTGTAACGTTGTGCCGTTAAGTTCCCAAGAACTTGCACCAAGTCTGTTCTACCAGTGCAGGAGATGGCTGCCATGAGGTCTACTATCCGCACGGCGAAGCATAAAAAGTGACTCGTCACTAAACCAAATTTTTCTCTATCGCAGTTGTGGCCATACTCTGTGACCTTGACACATTGATGTCACAACCGACAATGCAGCTTTGTCAAAATGACACCTCAAACTGGTTTAGTGCGAATACTTTGTACCTCTAGCAAGTAAATGGTTCCTCACTCATTACATCTTGTCCGCCTATGAAAATCGAATCAAGCTATAGACTGTTCAATTGGGATCCAATCAGCTTGTCACAACACATTTAAACATTTAATCCTTATCCTTACTGTATATCTGTCTTCATTGCCCTTGTGCTTCCTTACCTGTGTGCTATTTGTTATTCTTACTGTACATTTGCAAATATACCCAGAGCTCCAGATAAGCTTTTGGTGTTGTGGGTATTTTACCCATGCATTTTAAAATCATTGGGTATCAGTAATTCTATCTGCGTATTCAAATTTCTGTTACCCACTAGTTTTTACACATGTGGGTATTTAAGTTAAATATTTAAAAACACTATTCATCTAGTCCCTGCAAACTGGTGTCGTGTGGGTTCGAGAGCTTTATAGGACTCCAAAATACAACGATACTTCCACACGAAAGTGTGATGGCAAATGATCATGATGTGACTGTCATCGTGGAGTTTGGCAAGGTTGACGGAATGCCCGTTTATAATTTCAAAATAAGTTGCTGATTTGCTAAACGAATATGCAGGGTTACTTCACAATATTTTGATGATACGCACAAATTTTATTTTTGTAGCGTATCTGTAATGTTCGTTGTGTATTTGATACGCTTGGATTATATTTTACTGCGTATTTCTGCATTTCTGATGCGTATTTCACGCAGATACACAGCTTATCTAGAGCTCTGATACCTCTCATCACTTGGCAGCGGTAGAAATTGGCACTAGTCCTGTAGTCCTTGCCAAACTGCCCAATAGTTAGGTATCATAAGGACTAGTAGAAATTTGCCATTTTTAGGGGTTTTGCTATGTGTTATCATTATAAAGACTAGTGGACTAAAACTGTTAGTTTCTACCGCTGCTTGGTTGTTGTCACTCCAGCTTGATAGCAGTGTAAGAATCTACATCGAACAACACTATATGCAATAAACCACAGTTTGTTATCCATAAAGTTTCTCACCAACTCCTAGAATGCCAATCAAACAGTTATCAGATGATTGTTGTACTTGTTTAAGAGTTGTGACATGTCTGATGTACTCGTGATAGGTGACATGTCTGATCTACTTGTAATACAATGCTGGGCTGGAAGAACATGGAGAGCACACAATAACTAAAGAAGCACATGTAAAATCTCTCCTGTGGATCATTACTTGCAAATACATACCCAGCTATCATACCACTCTGGTGAAACCCACAGCACAAATACCTAGAAACACACTTGTGGTGAACTGGATTCGAACCCACAGCACAAATACCTAGAAACATACTTGTGTTGGACTGGATTCGAACCCACAATCATAGGTTTCTGGTGTACCGAATAGGTGCAACTCGGCACAGAATTGAGGCACCATAGATGACAGGGCCACCTGTGTCCCCTAATAACTGACCATGTTCTGAGCATCATTGTTTACTAAATCCAGTGGCCCGTGAAGACACTGGGGTAGAATAGGTCTTCAGCAACCCATACTTGCCATAAAAGGTGACTATGCTTGTCGTAAAAGGCGACTAACAGGATCGGGTGGTCAGACTCACTGACTTGGTTGATGCATGTCATCGTATCCCAATTGCGTGGATCGATGCTCATGATATTAATCACTGGATTGTCTGGTCCAGACTCTATTATTTACAGACTGCCGTCATATAGCTGGAATATTGCTGAGTGCGGCGTTAAACAACAAACCAACCAACTAAATCCAGTAATAGTTAATATCTGTAATCAATTGATGGAAGTTATTGTATTCACCATGTCCGTATCTCATATGTATATTGATGCAGTTTTTGCTGCCAATAGATATATATTGATTGCATAGACCAACCATCTCTACTTGTCAGATGACTGACCAGTTTTGTATCATTCAGCCTATTGGGTCAATACATAAGCAGATAACTGCCCTGAGCTTTGTTGAACAGCCTCAACAGAGCATGGAGAAACTCATCTTGGATTGGCCTTAGATGTAGTTCATAGAGACACCCGACAAATGTGTTTCAAATCTTGTATTTCTAATACACGGCGTTTGAAGACTACTTCTTGGAAAGCTTAGAAACTCCTTATTTTTGGGGAGGGGGTTGAATGGCTCTGCACGTTTTCCATCTGACAAAATCAACTTGATTTTTCAATGTTTTTTTATGGTAACTAAACTAAGCCTATCCTTTTTTCATTCATATGCTGATTGGAGATGTCATTTAAAATACATCCTGTCTTTCCGCAAGGCAGGGTTTTAATCAAGGCTGGCAATTGCTGTAAGTCCATACAGTGCCGTGCAGGTTCAATCTATGAAAACCTTACAAATAATTTTCAACACCTAGCAAAATAAACTTCAGTCGATGAGCGTTTTGAAAAAGCAGGGCAAAACACAGGAACTTGTGACAAAAGAGGTAACTTAACTCTAGAATTCAACATTCAACAAATTATTTTTGGGGGGGTCTCAAAACTTAAGGAATTAAGTTGTTTGTTCGACATTGAACTTTTGAACTGGTCCCTTACCAGTGTTAGAAACTAACAGTTCGAATCCACTAGTCCTATTAATGATAACATAAAGCAAAACCCTTAAAAATGGCAGTTTCTACTAGTCCTTATGATACATTAACTATTGGGCAGTTTGACAATGACTATAGGACTAGTGCCAAATATTGAAAAGTGGTTGGTATTGTCAGTGAAACATGTGTTGGCAATTGTTTTGTAGCATGTACTGTTGTAGAGCATACACTTCATCCCCGCTCGAACGCACTTGGTTTGTAAAAGACATTTCTCTTTCTCTGGTATATTGGCCAAGGGATCTAGTGGCAGCGTATTGACGGTGTAGAGATATAAACAGTGAGTGACCACATATATGATACTATGAAGCGATGATTTCATTACAGCCAGCGAATTGTTTGTCTTCAACAGCGATAATGTTGGTAAAATACATGTCACCCAGTGCCATTCTAGAAGTCCTGAGGTAGGCCCCCTAGAAGGGGATACAATTTAAACATAAGGTACAAAATGTCTAATGTTGTTGAGGCAAGTCTTAAGAAGTTAACATGGTTAACTGGAAAATAAACATTATGAGGCTATGTTTAAGTTAAGGGAGTAATAAGTTATTCAGAAGATTTAAGATTTAACAGTGTTTTAAGGGAAATAACACTAAAGTTTGAAAGAATTAAAATATGTATTGTCTTTTTCTTCGCTGATTCTTTGCTCTTTATGGACTAATATTTTGATAGTTTGACTTGTGTTCGGTGCTATTCACACGGCACTGTGTGAAGTGACTCCTATCGGATGATTAAAATGAGAAGCCATATATATGGGAGTTTTTGTGAGAATCCGTGCAAACTCGCGGCCTTCAGATTGTTTGCCTGACAGCTAACCAACTGACCTGAGCTACGTCCCCACTGTGAAATAAAGTGCAAATTTACCTTGTCATCATGTTAACCTCTTTGGTCATGTGGACAAGGTGTCCAACCTCAGATCAGAATGTCCGTGGTTCGAATCCCATCATGGTACTTGGAGATTTTATGTCTGCTACCCAACATTTTACAGTATTTATTGGGTTGACTACTGTAAAGCGTTTCATAAATTTGCCAAGTTCAAGCAGGAAGTGTTTATGTCTATTTTGAGCAGCACCAAGTCTTTGCCATCTGATGTTTTGTCTGTGTGGCAGTGACAGCACAAGTGAATTGCTGAACCTCCACATGTGACACAGATCAATACCATCTACATATTATAATAACCTGTTTTCTGAGGACACTTCTCCTTTAGGCTTGAGATGCACACATGTGTTCAAGTCATGCTTGATATTCATGGCCAAAATATATCATGGAGTAAAAGTACAAAGGACACTTTTCCCAACTTCAACTGTTGCTGTGTGGAGAACTGATAGTTGAGTTTGCCTTGTACTGCAAGGCTTGTGATGAACCATGATAGACTCCATGCACTGTCAGTGAGCAGAGGAGCTTGAGTTGTTATTGACGTTTATAGGCATGGCATGATGCTTGCCTGATGAAAGGATGTTGTTTACGTTGTATTTGAGATATCAGGTAGTGGTAATGTATTACTCCTGATTATGTTGATCAGTTCTCAGACCAGCATGTGTCACCTCAGCTTGTTGGGAGAGTAGCAAACTAGTGGAAGTACATGCTCTTCAGAGAACCAGATGACAAGTGGGACAATGTGTTAAAGGCTCTGGGACTGTGCTTTCTTGTATGATTGGATTACTGTTGATGCTGATAATTGTTTGGAATGACTTTGTGTCACATTTTCACAATGCAGAGGAGAGGTATCCCAAGTTGGATTGAAGATGTGTTTGGGGGCACCAACACAGTTGAGTTTGCAGAGCATTATCTGTTTAGGGCTTGAAAATAGGAAATTTCATGTGAACCTTTGTAAAAAAGTTTTTAAGACTGTGTTGTCAAACATATTGAACATGTTGTTGTAATTGGTTCTAGTTTGTCATGGGTTAGGTTATGAATGCCAGTAGGTTTATGAAAGAACTGGGTATGGTAATGGTTCTCATCACTGAGGCCGAAAAATATACTGGTCTTTTAGACGTTACACAGCTCTCTTTTTTAGAACAGAAGGTTTTTTTTTGCATGGTAGCAGTTTTTAACTGCAGATGTCATTGCATATTGTGGCAAACGATATATTAGGTATATTGCGGTAAATTGTTAATGTTGATGCTGTGCTAGTGCAAATTTGTGAATATTGATACCAAATTAATAGTGCGCTGTCACGGAAACGTTAACATTTATTAAGATTATCATGGTTGAGATGGGACAAGAATGCAGACAATTCAAACTTTTACATTTTATGGATCATCCCAGTTCATATTTAGCATTACACTGATTAATTGCAGGTCGACATCATTTTTGTCAGTAAACATACAAAATAATTATATTGTGGTACTTTTAAGTTGATATATATCAATACATGTACTAAAATATGACACCCCTGAAACTGATGGTCAGGTATTAAATGATTAAATATCATATATCTGAGGAAATATTTATCAGTTCATCAGTCCAATTTTCCAAGTTTTCTGACACATGAGAATCTATGTGCTTTGGTTCTCAACAAGTTGAAGGTTTCTACAGATCAGTTGAAAACACTTTATAAACTAGCAGTTGTTCCATATTCTTCGTTAGCACCAACCATGTTCTACTTTATTTTTCAGTGCAGGATGGCGGACAACTCATTTGATTCGTTTGACCAGAGTACGTGTAAGTACTTCCCCCTCAGTGCACGAACCCCCTCACCCCACACCTGCACCCTGCACCTGACTGCTGTGGTGCCAGCCCTGTGAATGCAGTATGTGTTGGATTGAAGTGTGTTGAGAGCTGTGCAGGGAGATCACTCAGAAAGGGAATATATGACATTGATAGCTCCCCTTTGAGATTACGATAGATTGTTGGTTTAAAAACAGTGGTTGTGAATACGGTTTGAACAAGCACACCAAAGCTGTTTAAGGAAGCCCAATATGGAGCCAAAAAAGGAAAAGTTGTACAAATTTGCCAGCCAAGGGTATTCAGATTAGAATCCTAGACATTATGTCCCTGTGAACTGTGAAAACTGTGAAGTAGTCTCATTGCAGTAGTGTCCAGGCCTCATGTGCTGACTGAGTAACCACCCCTGATATATTGCCTGTATCAGCATTAAACCCAACACACCAGTCCCAGATGATTTCTGCAGTATAATTATAAAATTCTGCAGTAAAATTACCAAAATCCTGCAACAAATTCTGTGGTAAAATTGAATAGAAGACTTTGAAAATAATGAAAATTAGTGTATTGATTTTTCTGCAATTCAGCGGTAATTTACAATTTCTGTAATCCTTTCCACAATCTCGGAATCGCAGAATTCATGTGGGACTGCCACACTGACTCATGCACTTGTACAGGCAGTGTGAGAGTTGGTCTGTGATTGCTTTCAGTGATGGAGGGGGACCTGAAGACTGAGTCAAGTCCGACAAGCAACCAGCAGTTTTCCTTTCAGCGAACCAACAGCACTGGCTGTGCGTCCTCAGCATCGTCTGCACATAACACAGGTAAACCTTAACCACATTCCTGTATCCATCTGATTTCATGTTGTGTTTGTAAGCATGCTTGCCTTTAACACTGAAGTGGAATTAATAACTAATACATCGGGAAAATAATCTACAACCAAGGAATTGTTTGATCTATAAGTTTACAATAAGGCCCTAAAAGATATGTTGTATTGGTATTGGACGTTACTTGACCTAACCACCCTTTCATTTTTTTTCAAGTAGAGAAAACTCCTCAAACTTTGTGACTTTAAATGCAACTATTATTTTTAAGGGTGTTACAGCAAGGTCACGATATGATACGTATCACATTACATAGGTCACGATACGATATGTATCGCGATACACATATTTACGTCAAATCGGATGGAACTTCTTGACAATAAATATTTCAGAGCAAGTTCAAAAGGAAAAGCTAGCTGTAGACATGTGTTCGTAGTGGCTATTTTTAGTAGTGAAATTACAACACATTTTGCAAAATCTTACTGACAAAAATGTCAGGAATCATTAAATGAGTATGAAGTAATTCATTTCAGCAAGTGTATTGTCTTGTATCGATACAGAAAAAGACGTATCATGTATTGTTTCGTCACATGAAAACTCAAGATGCACTGGCGCACCGATGTATCGTTTCACCCCTAACTACCGGTATTTTACTTTTACTTAGAAACCATCTCTGTTATCTAAAAGATAGATATTTGTATATTTAGTCTAACAGACTGTGGTGACCTTGTATATATATGAATCACAGAATCTGGGGATCAGTTTGACTTGTCTCTGACATGAAAATATGTTACAGAAGAAACAGTTATTAAATTGTCTTAATAAAATATAATAAAAAGGAGCCCAGATATCCTCTTCAGTGCAGTGATCTAGACTTGCCAACTTTTATAGACGTGCATAGGCTGTATTTGGTGTTTTATTGTACATTATTTTCAAGAGGGGAGTGTCCAGTGAGCTGTTCCCCATAGATGAAGCTGGGCAAAATAGATAAACGCAATGGTGCTAAACGATTGCATCCAAAAATGAAGGAGATATGACAATCAGCATAGGGAGATAAGGTACAGATACTAAAGAATATCTTTAACCCCCTGTACATAGAATGGACTTGACTGATTGTTTTCATGGAGTCATCATTGTTGAAATACAGATAAATATTTTATGCTTGTACATTTTCTTGACATCCTTAAAGAGCCATAATTTGGATATTACATATGAGTAATAAATGACTCGTGGTCGTTATTTATTTGTACAATAAAACACTGGAGGGAGAATTATCCACTCGGTGCTGACTCCCTCATGGTTTATTCTTCCTAAAGTGTTTTATTGTACGATAAATAACAACAAGTCGTCTTTCTTAAATATATTACACAGATGCAAACCGTTACCATTTTGAGCAGACTCATGTAGATATTTTGAAGAAGCTTCCACCAAATTGATTAAGTGAACAATTTTTTTAGCTCACCGGGTCCGAAGGTCCGTCGTCCGTCAATCCGTCCATACGTCAACAATTATTCAAACAACTTCTTCTTCTGAACCACTAATTGGAAATAAACAAAATTTGAATGGAAGCATCCCTAGATGGTGGGCATTTAAAATTGTACAAATGGTGGGGCTGACCCCCCAGGGGCTGAGGGGCAGGGCCAAATAGGGGTAATTGGCTATATTGCTTTAAACGACTTCTTCTCGGGAACTAAGAGATAGATATCAACCATATTTGGTTGGAAGCATCCCTAGTTACCTTGACCATAACATGCAAACCGATATTAAACATATACATTGTTTACATTTGTTTTTTATGAAGAGAATAATACCTTTAATATGATTTATCCTGGAGCATAACATGGAAACGGTTCAGATCTTTGTATCTAGAGAAATACACATTCATGCTGCCAGATTTGCCATCCACCCATTTTAATTGCTGACAGTCAAAATTACGAAATATTTGCAGTATTTTGTACGTACACAATGCAAATGTATATTTGTCATGATTGCGTAAATATCCAGGTAGGCAATACAGGCCCTATTGTCCTCTTGTTTATACTACCTAAAAGAAGTTAAAGAATACCAGATTCTTTCATATTACTATAATTGCCATGCCATGACAAATTAACTACAGTTTATATGAAAAATTCAGGTGCTCTCTAACTTCTTTTGAGTAGTATACAACAACTGATAATAAAGTGCCCTGGTAATGTCTTGTTTCAGCTTGTGTGGGAAGGTTTACATATTTCCATAAAGATTACATATTTTTCCAAAATCAAATATCATTCAAATGGTGACTATTTTCCTCACAAATTACTAATATGCGACTCCAGTTTCTATCCCACGTGTTCCTTATTGCATCAGTTTAATGTTGGCATCTGTATGTTCCTGAGATATGATTGCATCATCACCTCCCCCAGAAATCTATGACATGTAGAAAATAGAATCAAGAGTTGAATCTGTGGCCTGGAACTTGATGAGACTGCTGATGATTTCTTGATTGGTGTGGTGGGTCTATCTTGTGGAAGGTTATTGACTGCCTGGGGATTGTCACTGACAGTGTACACACAGTCTCAGGGCTGCAGACAATACCTCTTCTCCATTCTGTTTGTTATGTTGTAGAAGATTACTGGTACTTTTTACTGCTGTTTGGAGTCGGTTAATATTACCTGTGTTTTGTTTGGTTTGAGATATCAGCTGTTGATAGATTAATGAATGAACATGAACGACCATAGAAATAATACAATAATACCCTTCTTTCTCTATATCCTTCATGTAAACAATAATGAATCAGCAAAACTTTTCAAAATAATATTGGCTGCAGCACAAATCTATAAGGCAACGTAAACAGAAGCATCTGGCCTTGAACCATGTCGTTACATCATGTACCTGTTGAACTCAATTTTATTATCTTTCAGGATCTCATTAAATACTTTATTATGAGAAATTATTAATAATCATATGATTTATAGCTAAACCTATGCTCCTTCATCCAGATTATATGGAACAAAACTATTTATTTTTTATTTAGACTTTACCACATGTTTTGTTCTGTGTGTTCATATTTTCAGTGTAAAGCCCTGAGTTATGTTTGAAAGGGCCCCCCTCACTTGCCCCGCTCCTATTGTTCTCTTGTTTAGAAACCGGGAAGGTTGATAGTCCGTAAACAATGGGCATGTGGGTATAGTCCATTCCACATAACATACTGTGATATGCTCTAGTAAAACAAGGTTAAGTTGCAACATTGTTTATGCATATCCTTTCATTGACTTTTACTTCCATTTGCACATTTGCATCGTTTCATCAAAAAAAATTAAGTTCACCCCTCAGAAGACACACTAAAGCCAATGAACTTCACAACACTTGTTCTCAGATGTATATATAACATTTAGATTGACATTTATTTCATAATTTATACTGAAATTTATAAGTATATAAATTTATATGAATAAATAAAACAAAACATTCTGACATTTATTTCATCTCCTTAGGTGAATATTTTATTATGTTCCTACTCAGTGATTTGTATCTGTTTACTTTAATACTTTTAATAGCTTCACCTGTACCCAAAACAGTGTGTGATTTTGTTCCCATGTAAAGCTAAAACATTCCTGCAACATTTTCACCATAATGCCCATAAGGAAAATACAAAATTTGTCATTATTTTTTGCTCATCCCACCCAAAATGCAAAAAAAACAAACTTTTTGTTTCATTTGTATTTCGATCACTGAAAAAAGTTTTGAGTAAAACAGTCTGTCAATTTGTGAATCTCTTTTACTTTTAAAATCAATGAAAATAAATGCAAATATATATTTGTGGGACTACAGACAGGCCTTGTGAATGACTCACAGTTCTAATGACATCACTGTGTATAACTGTTAACTGTCCAACCTATCAGCTTCTCAATGCACCCTTGCAGTCTGTTACTTCAGTCCGTAGTCTGAGTCTAGTAAAATTTCTTGTGGTCTTGTAAACTTCGCTAATAAAAGTTCATACATCAACACTAAGATCTACTGAAAATGATGTCACATGTCGTTTCGGGCAAATAGACACATTTATTAATCTCTGTGTATCGCAGTGAATGGTTCTTATCTATCCTGGGGTTCATGAACAATTCATATGATGTTAAAAGAAAATGATGATATTGGTATTCAAATATTATATACCGTATTCGACGTTATAAGCGCCCAGGGCGCTCTCAAAATTAGAAATAGGGGGCTCTTATTTGAAAATTATTTTGGTGAAAAAACAGAGTTGAAAGATAAATTTCATGGTTAATGCTGACAGCCTGAAATGTTTATGTACGACAGATATATTTTTCCAAATTAAATGCCCATATTTAAGGGTGCATGTAACACATGAGTGCGTATTATACGCGAATAAATAAGTCTTGTGTACATTGATCAATCGGATGGGGCGCTAACTGGGATTGTTCACTAGCCAAATTCTTAGAAAATGTCGCCGTGGGCGCTTATTAGAGCGGGGCCCTTATTTCGTCGAATACGGTATATATAGTGATGGAAAGTGAAAATATATGTAACATGTTTTATTTCAAGGGCTACAATTGGCCAGTCCATAATTCCCTCATCACTTTTTATCGGAGTCCCATGATTTGATCCTGTGCATGCTTTAGTGTGTAGCAGGGTGACAGTGTTGGAAGTGACCACCCAGATGTGCCCTGAACACTGATACCTGTCGAGGTATTGATTACCCGATGTGTGAAAGGGATGTGTATTTCTGAGTCTTACACGTTATTGATCTGCTGTGCTCTACAAATGTTCATCCTTCTCAAGCATTCTTCAACACAAGTTGAATCAACAAACACCTACTACTAAGTGGCCAGTCTGAGTCATTTGTAATCAGAGCAATAGTAGGAATGCTAATTGGTTGCCGTGGCGGTTGTGGTGTGTCACGTGGCACGGGCAGGGACGGCAGTGCTCACCCTCGTGCTGGCCGGGTGACAGCTCTCTGTTCCACATGTGACAGGGATAAGCAAACACACATGGCATTGCCATTGCATCACTCCGCTCCCTGAGATCAATAGTGTGGAGTTGAGGATGTGTATGCTATTGTCTTACTGAATTGAAGATTAGGATGGACAAATAAATTAGAATGTAAACCAATATTTATGTCTATAGATTTTGATCTGGGTCCTTAGAACTTGCATTGTTATAAGCATACATATGTACAAGCCTAATGTAAGTCCACTACTGACAATTTTAAGAGTCAGCGAAGACAGATATGTAATTAATGAGGATGAAACTATAGTTCTTTCTCCCCACGAGTGTAATTATGTTTATACCTAGAGATGACTGAAGTCAGGTGTCGTTGGTCAGAGTGATTATACTTGGTATAGACAGTGTTAGGCTGGAGTTCACAGGTGGATGATGAGTGAGTGAGTGGGTGAGTGAGTGAGTTGGGTTTTACGTCGCTTTTAGCATTATTCCAGCACTGTCAAGGCGCAGGACACCAAAAATGGGCTTCACACATTGTACCCATGTTAAGAATTGAACCCGGTTCTTTGGCCTGACTAGTGAACACTTTAACCACTACCCTTTCGCCACTGGTTGATGACACTATAAAAAAAGACGATGCAAAGATTCTTAAGATGACTCTTTGCACTTGATGTTCAGTGAATAAGTACTGCATATTTTACCCCATGTGATGTGAGCCAAATGTAAACACAGGTCAGGAGTTTATCTATTGACCTGATGAGAGGCTGAAATTTGGCCTTAAGTCTGCAGCAAATGTCATAGTCTGTCCCCAAACCACAGTGAAAAACTCAAGTCTAGAATAATTTGACAAGTCTAGATTGCCTCAGCCTGAAATTAAGGATTGTTCTGGGCTCCATTTGGATTTAATTTTTTTATTTTGTAGGTATATGTTTTTAAATAAGATAACTTTATTCCTGGGACTAGATGTCAGTCAACAAATGTTAGTAAAAAATCCCAAATTGGAATTCAACATTTTGGAATTCATGCTGTTATATTTAAAACTTATATCATATGGCTTTGTAAATTGACTTGTATTTCAGTGTGAACAGGACTGATTTAGAGGAAGAGGATTTTATGCTTTGTTTTTTCATTGTTGTATTGATTCTGAAACTGGACAACTTAGCCGCAAATGTAAGACAAAGGATAAATTGATCAATATATTTTCAAAATGACATAGGAGAGTTAAAAAGTAACATGTGTTTATTTTGTTTTCAGATAAGTTGATAGGCTAGAATTACATGAGAACTTTGTTCAATTGATCAGTCAGGCTCTAATGGCATGTTCTTGTATTGATGTTGTGAGGATTCTGTTGTTACAGACGATGAGGACAGTGACACCAGCAAGACCCTGAGTTACAAGGACAGGCGACGTGAAGCCCACACGGTCGCAGAACAGAAACGCAGAGACGCCATCAAGGTATTGATTGTACAGAGAAGAGATCTTATAAAATTACTTCATGAAACTCTATTTACAGAACATTTTGTGCTTGACAGACAGTGTGCGAGCTCAGGCTATGTTACCGCTTATAGATGAAAACCAAGCCTCGCTTTCACACAGGTTATAAATAGATTCAATGCTAAAGGCCCCATAGTGACGTCACAGCCCCTGTCACAGGAAGTGAAAAATCCTGGGCTCTACACCTACCTCATATAAACCTTTTATTACAAATCCTATATGTACATGTAATGTTTTCATATATTTCCCATTTCCACATATGTCAATTTACCAAAATAATACCTAAATATAACCCATCCATGCACTGTAGAAGCTGTGAGAACATGTTTATTGAAGTCACGTGACCTCAAAATATTCTCTCACAGGGTAGAAGTCATTCACAAAAATATGGGTTCCATCTATCTTAGAAGGAGGAGGGGCCAATTCCTATGTTTCCTGCAATCACTGATCACTAAGCTTACTATATCCAACTTAAAACAGGAGGAGCTACAAATGTAAACATGTTTTTAATTGGATAAAAGACAGTCCCCAGTTTCCCCCTCGAAGTGACCAAGAAGTCCCACACAGAGCGGCCAGAAACATAAATAAATCTGGCATCTTACTGATAGCATCACATTCTAGTGACAGATATGTTACTTTAGGGCAGTTTAACACCGTTTGTTTAAATTTGAGTTGACTGGTATGTCATTGAGGGACTAATGTGTGTGTCAGGGGTCTAAACTGATGGTTTACAGGTTGTGGTGTTTGACATTTGGTTCTTTCTGTCTTAAGCTGTCTGGACATAGTTTGTCAGTGTTATCACACTGAACAGCCATTTGCACTTAAATAAATCAGAACTTAAATCTCAAATATGTATTGGTTTGTTAGTTTTAATTAGGGAAAGTAACCCTTCACACCACCGGAAGTTGTCAAGATTTTAGTCACGTGACCTCTATCAGTAAAATGATTGGCTCAAACCTATCGTCTGCTGTAGCAGTATACTTCTTTTACTGTTGTGGTGGACGATTACTTTTGGATTATACCTTGGCTATTGCATTTTTATGCTCGGTCATGGCTAAATTGTGTGTTTCAACTGTTATTTTCTTGGAACTCACTTGGAATACCAGTCTCTTACTTACTATTTATCATGATGCAACTTCCAAGTGACACCACTGGAGATTTGACAAGAAAGGTATGAACATATTGGAATTCTGGCACCTCTATAACTAATGAATTTTCAAGTGGAAAATATCAAGAGTACATTTATACCAATAAGGCTTGTGTATGCATTAATATTATATAGAAGTTTAAACGCTAGTAGAATTTTGCATCTTGTGAATATATGTGCATTTATGCCATCCAACAAGTCAGAAAAAATAGAAACAAAAGAAAAAATAATGGCATTCCTCCTGAGAAAAATGTAAGACATCGTAACATAATGGTAGCCAATGTCGTCCTTGTCAGGTATGCATACAGTTGGGACAATTTAAAAAAAGATGATCCTCATCATGAAATGAATAAACCTTATTATCCAGGTGAAAAGCATTAATATCCAGTGAATATATTTTGTAACATGGAAAGCTAATAAAAGTACAAAAAAGTTGTTTCAGTAGAAACCTCTGTTTAAAAACTCCAGTTGACAGAGACTATAGAGTGAATATGTCATCTGCTAGCAAATTGTATTTACTGTTTGTAGGTCGCACTTGAGAACGAGGCTTGGTTTTTACGGGAAAAGATATCAATTACAAAATTGAGGCTAAGCTCGCACACTGAGATACAATCTAAGTGCCAATAACAGTAAACTATGGTTATAACGAACACGCTTATAACAAACTAACGGATATAATGAACTAACTTTTAAGTCCCGACTATATGCTGTAGTTATGCTGTATATATGCTTATAAAGAATTATGGTCATAAATTAGTAGTCCCTTTGAGTTCGTTATAACTGTAGTTTACTGTATCTGTGTAGGTTAAAGGAATTTGTCAAGACCTGCTCAAAGGATGATATTCTGTCCCTAGACTGCTGCAAGTTCAGTTAATGTTCGCAAATTAAAAAAATTAATTAAAAATCCTGTTGTTAAAGTTGTAAGTTATATGATGGCTTCCCAGAGGCTGGTACACCACAGATATCAGGACAAATCAAGGGGAAGAAGCCTAAATGCTTACTTATAGATTATTCTACCATAAATTTGGAAGTTACTCGATTCTGATTGGTCAATCAGAGGTTGTCAAATCACAATAAACCCCCTCTGATTGGAACAGCTGATATGATGGCCTCATCACGTCGGAAGCTAATATTCATTGTCGGTAGGCATATTTATATATTAATTTCTACAATTATAGGTTACAAAATACAAAGTTGCGGTTACTACAATATTCAAGGGATGTGTAGCAGTACATTTTGTGTAGAAAACACGATAGACATCTACAAAGAGAATGTATTTTAAGTTTTTGGGACAACAGAGCTTGCTAATTGGGGCTTTTCTATATATGACTGTGACATAATATCTTTTGCATCACAATGAGCGATATGATGTCATAATGGGGACATGCGGTGTAGAACAAAGCTTTGCAATGCTTTCTTAGTTTTCTTTAAGGATGCCCACCTCATGTTAACTTACCAAGTTGCCATGCTTATATGTTTTCAATGCCTGTCATATGTTTGAGTGCAGTATCACAGTGTAAACAAACTGCTTGAGCATATACAGTACCATGTTTTGTTTAAAGGCTGTTGTCGGTGATTCCATAATTCAGATCGACAACCCACTCAAAATACTGGACTCAACCCATGCCGCTTCACTCAATATATTTGCTAACACCAAAGAGTTAACGTTTTATTTTGTCATGATAGAATGGAGATAAACATGCCATGTTTTCAATGTAGAGCCAGGTTATCTGTAGATTTAACCACGCTGAATTTAACATTTGAAACCTCACGCTACATGTTCGGTTCCAAATTCAATTTAGTGCAGTTAAAACCACAGGTAACCTAGATCTACATTGAAAACACAGTACCGGGATATGTTTATCTCCTAATTGATTTATGTGCTGGTCCCTTGGTCCGTGGCCTGCAAAAATAGCAGAGGCCCAATGGGCAGTTGATTCAACAATTAGAAGTATTCACACAAATAGATTATCGTGTCTTTAGGGGTAGTAGTATTGTCTTTGTGGTCTAGAGGATAGAGCATCTACCCAGAGAATCCCCGGCAGCGTCATTCCAAAAGACATTAAAAGATGTAAAACCTCATTTCCCCACACCTTGCCTCAAGGACAGTAGGGCAGCCATGCACCACCGTGTTTACCTTGTGTGTTGGCGAACAGTATAGAGCTACTAAGGGAACACTCCCATGAGTCATCAATACTTTGGGGTTGGTTGGGTAGCCTAGTGGTTAAAGCATTCGCTTGTCACGCCGAAGACCCGAGTTTGATTCCCGACAGGGGTACAATGTGTGAAGCCCATTTCTGGTGTCCCCTGCCGTAATATTGCTGGAATATTGCTAAAAGCCATGTAAAACCAAACTCACTCACTCATCAATACTTTATGAAACTTGTTATTAATGAAACTACCTCACAGAACACAGGAGGGTCTGTATGAACTGTTTGAAGTTAACGAAGTAGTCCGGATGATCAACTTCTGTTGTACAGTTGTAACAACATCTGATATAGATTGGAACACAAGGCAATTTTGGTTTTGGTTCAATATGTATACTGACAAGTGTGCAACTCGAGCCACGAAGGCCAAAGCTCAAGTAGTGAAACAGCTGCTCCAATAGTCGTCCTTATACTAACACTAGCCTCCACTGAACATTGTCACCATGATGACAAGAGACAAGTTTGGGGTAGTACCAAGAGGTTCAAATGTTTTTGGCCCATACTGCTGACACTGTAATCAAACAAGCTTGATTAAAGTTGATACCCATACTATTCTGTTTCACTTAAAGATGGACTCGTGGTAGAATAGATCTTCAGCAACCCGTACTTGCCGTAAAAGGCGATTATGCTTGTGGGAAGAGGCGACTAACTGGATCGGGTGGTCAGGCTCACTGACTTTGTTGACGCATGTCATTGTATCCCAACTGCATGGATCGATGCTCATGATGTCAATCACTGGATTGTCTGGTCCAGACTCGATTATTTACAGACCGCCTTCGTATAGCTGAAATATTGCTGAGTGCAGCATTAAACAACAAACAAACAAACAAACAAACAAACACTTTTTGCCACTTAAAGATTTTGATGAAGAGTTTCTCTACCCACAGAAAGGGTACGATGAGCTGCTGAGTATCGTGCCTACATGCCAGCAGCCGGACACCCTGAGTGGACAGAAGATGAGCAAGGCCACCGTGCTGCAGAGATGTAAGATATAGGGTGCAACTATACTCACTGACAAGGGAAACACAAATACCATACATGTTGGTTAATATAGGAAGAATTACTCATATTCAAGAGATATTAGATTGGCTCGAATCACAAACATACTGGTATGCAGCTATTGTGTACATCCAGTGTTTGTGTATGCAGCTGTTGAATACATCCAGTGTTTGTGTCTGCAGCTTTTGAATACATCCAATGTTTGTGTGTGTAGCTTTTGAGTACATCCAGTGTTTGTGTCTGCAGCAATTGAGTAAATCCAGTGTTTGTGTCTGCAGCTGTTGAATACATCCAGTGTTTGTGTCTGCAGCTATTGTATACATCCAGTGTTTGTGTCTGCAGCTGTTGAAGACATCCAGTGTTTGCATCTGCAGCTTTTGAATACATCCAATGTTTGTGTGTGTATCTATTGAGTACATCCAGTGTTTGTGTCTGCAGCTATTGAGTACATCCAGTGTTTGTGTGTGTAGCTATTGAGTACATCTAGTGTTTGTGTCTGCAGCTGTTGAGTACATCCAGTGTTTGTGTCTGCAGCTATTGAATACATCCTGTGTTTGTGTGTGTAGCTATTGAGTACATCCAGTGTTTGTGTGTGTAGCTATTGAGTACATCCTGTGTTTGTGTCTGCAGCTATTGAGTACATCCAGTGTTTGTGTGTGTAGCTATTGAGTACATCCTGTGTTTGTGTCTGCAGCTATTGAGTACATCCTGTGTTTGTGTCTGCAGCTATTGAGTACATCCAGTGTTTGTGTCTGCAGCTATTGAGTACATCCAGTGTTTGTGTCTGCAGCTATTGAGTACATCCTGTGTTTGTGTCTGCAGCTATTGAGTACATCCTGTGTTTGTGTCTGCAGCTATTGAGTACATCCTGTGTTTGTGTCTGCAGCTATTGAGTACATCCAGTGGCTGATCGGGCAGAAGAAGAAGCAGGAGGATGAGCTGGACTCCCTCAGGAAGGAAGTGATGGCTCTCAAGATTATGAAGGCGTAAGTAATGAAATATAGTGACACTCTTAACTTGAAGTCCATTAACTCGATATATAGTTCCAGTACTCATTGGGTGATGATGGTTATGTGTTTACAATGTTTGACCTTCCGCAGGGGCTTAGCTGCTGCTCACACAGGCAGTCCCTGTCTGCCAGATTGTGTGTCACCCTTCGGCAGGAGCGTAGCTGCTGCTCACACAGGCACTCCCTGTCTGCCTGATTGTGTGTCACCCTTTGGCAGGAGCGTAGCTGCTGCTCACACAGGCACTCCCTGTCTGCCTGATTGTGTGTCACCCTTTGGCAGGAGCGTAGCTGCTGCTCACACAGGCACTCCCTGTCTGCCTGATTGTGTGTCATCCTTTGGCAGGAGCGTAGCTGCTGCTCACACAGGCACTCCCTGTCTGCCTGATTGTGTGTCACCCTTTGGCAGGAGCGTAGCTGCTGCTCACACAGGCACTCCCTGTCTGCCTGATTGTGTGTCATCCTTTGGCAGGAGCGTAGCTGCTGCTCACACAGGCACTCCCTGTCTGCCTGATTGTGTGTCATCCTTCGGCAGGAGCGTAGCTGCTGCTCACACAGGCACTCCCTGTCTGCCTGATTGTGTGTCACCCTTCGGCAGGAGCGCAGCTGCTGCTCACACAGGCACTCCCTGTCTGCCTGATTGTGTGTCACCCTTCGGCAGGAGCGTAGCTGCTGCTCACACAGGCACTACCTGTCTGCCTGATTCAGATTTGATTATTTTCAGGCCACAGTGATGCAGCTGTAGTTGCCACATTCATATGGAGAATCCTTGGCACGCTTCTGACTTGAACTGTCGACGACAAGATTTATCATACCTCCAGATTAGATCTGATTGGTTCACATGATCATGATAAAATACTATGTATCCTGCCTGGGAGGGAAATACATTTCAGAACGGGAGAATAAATCCCTTATATCCCGCCCTAAGAAGACAGGCTGCATGTGGATTTCTGAGAGGGAGAATAAATCCTTTATAATAGATTTGAAGCAAAAGGCCACAGGTCGAATAAAAGTCATGTGACATGATCATGACACATTATTTCTGACTATATCTCACTGTAAAAGGGATATAACTCATAATAGCCATTGGTGGAGCTGAATATGGCAAGGGTGGAAACTGGACCTTTACAGACAGTTAACTCCCTTGCCTAGGGAAGATGGTAAATCACGTGCTTCCAAATACATGTCTCACCCAAAAGTAAAGTTTGAATAAGGATTCCAGATCGAAAACAAAAACCAATAGCTGGTTGGGAAGACAAGATTGCAGCTTTGTTATGCCTGGTTGTGTTTTGCAGGATTATGTAAAGTTGCCTGGCTATGTTTGCAGGATTATGTAAAGTTGCTTCGTATGTTTGCAGGATTATGTAAAGTTGCGTTGCTATGTTTGCAGGATTATATACAGAGACCTTGCTATGTTTCACAGGATTATGTACAGAGACCTGGTTATGTTTGCAGGAACTATGAGCACATTGTGAAGACACACCAGAACACTCCTGTCCACGGCCAGAACCAGGTTTCAGATGAGGTCAAGTTCCAAGTGGTCAGTATTACTTTCACATTGCAGTGCCTCATGCTTGTTGAAAAAGCTGACAACATTGTGGTTCGGGTACTATAGCACCAAGTGCTTGTCACAATGCCCTGATGGCATAAATTGTTCTAGCACAGAGCATTGAAATAATAATCCTATGGGTGTTCCTAGGACAGAGCCTTAAAATAATAACCGTATGGGGATTGCTAGGACATAGCCTTGAAATAATAACTCTATGGGGATTGCTAGGACAGAGCCTTGAAATAATAACCCTATGGGGATTGCTAGGACGGAGCCTTGAAATAATAACTCTACGGGGATTGCTAGGACGGAGCCTTGAAATAATAACTATGGGGATTGCTAGGATGGAGCCTTGAAATAATAACCCTATGGGGATTGCTAGGACGGAGCCTTGAAATAATAACTCTATGGGGATTGCTAGGACAGAGCCTTGAAATAATAACCCTATGGGGATTGCTAGGATGGAGCCTTGAAATAATAACTCTATGGGGATTGCTAGGACAGAGCCTTGAAATAATAACCGTATGGGGATTGCTAGGACGGAGCCTTGAAATGATAACCGAATGGGGATTGCTAGGACATAGCCTTGAAATAATAACCCTATGGGGATTGCTAGGACAGAGCCTTGAAATAATAACTCTATGGGGATTGCTAGGACGGAGCCTTGAAATAATAACCCTATGGGGATTGCTAGGACAGAGCCTTGAAATAATAACCCTATGGGGATTGCTAGGACGGAGCCTTTTAATTCCTTTGGATTCCCAGGCAGCATTGATCCCTAGGACCCATACTTGTTGTGACAGGAGATCAATTAGGATGAACTGGTTACAATGTGTGATCTGGCTGATTGTGTCATAGCACATTGGAGTGGAGAAATGTTCATGCTGTCAACCACTGGTTTGCCTGACAGTGAGTCCGTTGTGTGCAGGGAATCAATGATATGTCTGGAGTATTGATGATTCATCCTCATCCATTCACTCCCTCACTCACCCTGAACATTCTTATATTAACCAGGTTATTGTTTTCCCAGTTTCAGCAGATCATGGACACACTGTTCCAGTCATTCAATGCCTCTATCTCTGTGGCCAACTTTGCGGAGCTGTCAGCGTGTGTGTTCAGTTGGCTGGAGGAGTACTGCAAGCCCCAGGTGAGTCAGGACACCCAGTCCTCCCTGTTTCCCCAGCCCCCAGCTGAGTCAGGATGCCCAGTCCTCTGTGTTTCCTCGGCCACAAGTGAGTCACGATGCCCAGTCTTCCTTGTTTTCCCAGCCCCAGGTGAGTCAGGACGCCCAGTCCTCCCTGTTTCCCCAGCCCCCAGCTGAGTCAGGATGCCCAGTCCTCTGTGTTTCCCCAGCCCCCAGCTGAGTCAGGACACCCAGTCCTCCCTGTTTCCCCAGCCCCCAGCTGAGTCAGGATGCCCAGTCCTCTGTGTTTCCCCAGCCACAAGTGAGTCAGGATGCTCAGTCCTCTGTGTTTCCCCAGCCACAAGTGAGTCAGGATGCTCAGTCCTCTGTGTTTCCCCAGCCACAAGTGAGTTAAGACAACCAGCTCTCCCTATTTCCCCAGCCACAATTGAGTCAGGTTGCTCAGTCCTCTGTGTTTCCCCAGCCCCTGGTGAGCCAGGACACCCAGTCCTCTGTGTTTCTTCGGCCACAAGTGAGTCAGGACACCCAGTCCTCTGTGTTTCCCCACCCACAAGTGAGTCAAGACACAAAGCTCTCCCTATTTCCCCAGCCTCAAGTGAGTCAGGATGCTCAGTCCTCTGTGTTTCCCCAGCCCCTGGTGAGCCAGGACACCCAGTCCTCTGTGTTTCTTCGGCCACAAGTGAGTCAGGACATCCAGTCCTCTGTGTTTCCCCACCCTCAAGTGAGTCAAGACACAAAGCTCTCCCTATTTCCCCAGTCCCCAGCTGAGTCAGGATGCCCAGTCCTCCTTGTTTCCCCAGCCACAAGTGAGGCAGGACACCCAGTCCTCCCTGTTTCCCCAGCCCCCAGCTGAGTCAGGATGCCCAGTCCTCTGTGTTTCCTCGGGCCACAAGTGAGTGAGGATGCCCAGTCCTCCCTGTTTCCCCAGCCCCAGGTGAGTCAGGACACCCAGTCCTCCCTGTTTCCCCAACCCAAAGTGTGTCAGGACCCACAGTCCTCCCTACATGCTGGCTATATCAGAAATAAATGACTCATGGTTTTTGTTTATCGTACAATAAAACACTGCAGGGAGAATAAACCGCTCAGGCCGACCTGTGACTGTCTGTGAAAATTGCATATTACCGGAGTTATGATACCATGTACCATTTAATGCCTTTATCAAATGTTCCAAAATAGACATGGAAAATAATAATGCAGTAGAATGCAATTTTGAAGCATGAGCTGATATAGCAAGTTGAAAAAGTAAATATTAACAAATGAACTTTATGTTTGTGTGTTATGCAGTTGCATCTCTGTAATGTAATTTTAGGGGCACCTGTCAGGGTTTCAGGTCACTTGATCACTAGTACTTAGCATAAAGAAGAGTAACATAGGGATCAGTAGGCCACAATGGCCACTGACATCTGGGAGGATCAGACAGGGGAAGACAACTCTCAGCTGTGACCAGACTGAATAGTCTCCCCTAACCCTTATTGTTGATCAGCTCAGGCCGTATCCATCTCGAGGGGGATTGCTCTGAAGCAGCGTCTTTTTCTTGTATTGATACTTGTACGTGATACTGCACGTTGAAGATTATGGCACTTGTATAGAGACATGTATGTAAATGTGTGTGTTGCTGCTTGTAGTAGTCCAGACTTATGCTGGTTTTATTGCACCATGCCACAGTTTAATATGGATATTCCACTCAGACACAGTTGGTTCCATTGATATCAATGCAATATATTTTTCAGTCTCTTCGAGAAGTTGTCCTTGGCATCTTGCGGCAGCTTAACTCCCAGCTGAACCACTGATACAAGGTCAAGGTGACCATTATTGAAGGTCAAGATTGTATGTTACATCCACCCAATCATCTCAAGTTGACATATCATACAATCAACGTGTAATCTTCTTGGTAATGTGAATAATTTCAATTGTACAAAAGAATGGTATGTATTTAGTAATTGTTTACATGTATTTAATATTATATAATAATGGTTTGTCAATTTGATATGGATATACAATAAATCATGTTCGTGGCTCATATAGATTCGCATGAGAGGAAGGAAGATAAGAGAAAATTGATTTATGAAGAATTCCCGTTAGTTTGGTTTGTTTTATTAATCGTGAATGGTGTATCAGTTTTCGCTTGAATCTTGTCATGCTGTCAATTCCAGGTAGTGGGTGCCATTTGGCAACAATGTCTCAGTATTGATAGAACTGACTCCTCAATAATCAATAGCCTCTAAGCAACTATTATCTAGAACCATTCGTCACCACTCGCCCCTTTCCGTAACCACCAAGAAGACTGGTCCCCCTTTTGATGAATGTTAGGTGCGAAAATATGACAAACCAATCAGAATGACTTCACGTTCTTCGTCAAAGAATCCCTCAGAAATAATTTTTTATTTTACATATATTTTGCATCTAAAATATACCCAAGATACAGTTAAATGTGTTTAATCATACTGTATAATTCCGCATGTCCCGATGTGCTTTAAATTCCATCTGAAATATATATAATATATGGGGAAATATATGTGAAGCATTACGCAACAAGTTGACAATTGTTTTAGGTATGCCCGTTTGCGCAAAGACAGAACCCGGTCACAAAAATGGCCATGAGAGGGGCACGAGTCGTTATTCGGCCTGTCACGGAATAACACAAGTTGGTCATTAATGATCTAGAACCTGTTTTAGTGCCATCAGTGTATGTTTGTGTATATCAAAATGATAAAATATGTAAACTTCTACATGTATATATTGACTCAGAATAAGAGACAAGTATTTGGCAAAGTTTAAATTTGACTTTAATTGAGCAAATGTTTCTGTCTGCACTCATGCTCCTGTGATTTAAGGACAATAGGATTTTTCAGTTTATGCCTGCTCTTGTTGGCTGTGAAAATAGTAAGCGTTACTAAACCAATATGTTTTCTGTTTTTTTGTTGGAGAGGTTTCCATAGGTTTGAGCCAATGATGACCTAACATAGAGTTTTACTAGATTATGTATTGTTCTTCTATCATAATGAGGATAAAAAACTTACAGGAATGTGTATGGTACACTTTGAAAAAAACAAACTATTTTCATACTTTCTTTCTCATCCTTGTTGAATACTGTTTCACAAGGTGGTATTGCCTTGTGTTAGTGTCATCATGGCATCTCTGCCATATATAGACAAAACGAAACTTCATCGCTCTGCCCATGTTCAAGAAGTGGCAGGCACCATGGGCGTAGTAGCCTGATTAATCTACAGTTTGTTGTAAGTTTGAAGAATGTATACATTTCACTTTTTTCACTTGGACGCTGCATTTGTGATGATACATTCTTACCCTTCCACATGCCACATTAACTGTTCATGCGTTACAAATTTGATGTTGTAAGATGATTGTATCTAACTCAATGTTTCGTTTACTTGGTCCCAAGGCTGATATAACAACTGTATCTTGGCGCAATATTCACTAACATTGTCATGGTTACCATATTTGCCACAACCTACTGTGGAACAGCCAGGTGAACTTACCTGCAGTCTTGATGCTTATGGTAATGTAATATTTGAGTTTTTTTAAGGTATTCATGAATAAAAATACATTTTTTGAAGTTTTTACAAATTTATCCTGCTATTGTAGATATTTAAAAAATATATATCTGACAGTTTAAGAAATAGGTTGTATGGATATGATGTATTGATCTTTTCATTGAATTTTGATCATTTATCCAACATGGTTTTTACCAGTTTTGTACCCAAAGAAACACCTGGTTTGGTTTTATTTTCTTGGTCAGTGCTTTCGATAGTAAAGTTGTATGATTCATTCCTTTAGAAAGTGGTCATTAGTTTGTTTTGTTGTATAATGTTTTATTATGTCAACAACTGCTGTCATATAATATTGTAGATAGGTATTTTTAACAGTTGTTATAGGTGAGCATTTAGGCGTGAAGCAGACAAAGCTGGTTATCTATATTCTGTATGGAAACGTTCAGGTATTACTGCAATTTTAAATAAACCCTTTTAGATTACTTTTTGTGAGTTTGCAGCGGTCTGTGTTGAAAGCAGGTACATCTTTGTTATCTCCGACAAGGAAGGATGTAACAGTGCATGAGGATATATTGTCTTCACTGAAGACCCTCTAATGTTATTTTGCTCTGTTCTCTTGTTGCCGTATATTTTGTACACTTTTAGAATACAACATCCTCTGTATCTCCAGGGCTCATATTACGGTAAACCTACACTGACGCCTGGATCCAATCCATGGTTCTCCATTCTTAAATGACCTGCCCTTGATTTTCTTTAGCAAATATGATTTGCTATTTCGCCAGTCTAACGGACCAATCAGAATGCAAGTCACAAACCAACCTCAGTGTATGGTTGGTATGATCAACATGGTGACCAGTCCCATGGATTAGAGTTTGTGAGAAATTCAACATTGAAAAACTGACTGACATACAGAGAAAGCCCCAGAATTATTTTTGATGGAAAGGATGTCTTCATGTCTTCCATGCCAATTAAAACATGTCCCTTGTCACCAAGCATTCCCATTCTCTTTTTCCTTTTCTCGACATTTGATTGGTCGGTAAAATGTTAATGAAAATCGAGATATGATTTAACAAAATATAGGTTTACCAGAATGTGAGCCCTGGAGATACCTAGGATGAGAATACAGTGTCAGTACTGTTCTCTCTAGTACTGTTGATTTCTACTATTAAGCTGTATTTTCCGCTGTTTTATGCAGAGAAAAGTTTATAAAAATCAATAAAATCAAGAGGTTCAATGACATTTTTTGTCATTTGTGTTTTCAACTAATTTAAAAAAAGGTTATACAATGGCATTGCATTATGCTCATCCCTAAAAGGAACCCTGGTGATATTTGATTAGGAATCAAATCTGTCGGTCACATGAATAGACAAGTTTGGTGAGAGACTGCTTTGTGGACTTTTAATTTAGCCATAATAAATCACCTCCGGGACATTATGTAAGCAGCACCTCTCTCAAGATCATACACTCAGTGATGTATTATGCTCTTTTAATTTATAAAATGCTTACTGTAGTAGGAGTGAGTGAGTGAGTGAGTATGGTTTTACGCTGCTTTAAGCAATATTCCAGCAATATCACGGCGGGGGACACCAGAAATGAGCTTCACACATTGTACCCATGTCGGGAATCTACTGTAGTAGGAATAAATTCAGTACATATCATCTCTAAATGTTGATTTCAAGAAGCCTACGTTTTGCGTTCACTCGTGGGCCATTGACCATGAAAGGTTTTCTGATCGACCGCACCCAGATGTCCAGGCTTCAGTGTTTTACTCTTACGTGGGGTGTCCAAGAGTGCATTCATCAGACGTGTTTGAATTTTCCGTGCCTCGTCCATTGCAGGAATTCTTGTTTGTTGGTTGGTTAACGCAGCACTAAGCAATGTTCTGCTGATGACCATATTGAGTGAGTATTGGTTTATTCCGCTTTTGGCAATATTCCACCAGTGTCAGGGTGGGGGACACCAGAAATGAGCTTCAAACATTGTATCCATGTGGGGAATTGAATCCAGGCGTGACGAGTGAACACTTTAACCCCAATGCTACCCCACCATCCCTTATACTGAAAAGATATGCATGGCAGTCTGCGAGTTGGAAGAGTGATGATTACATTGCAGTCCACTGTTGAACACAGAACGCCACGAAAAACATAATTCATTTATTCATCCGAATTGTAAAATATTATAAATATTAACAATGTATAAAATATATATTTCTCAGTTGCCAGGTATCTGTTTGTTTCTTCCATTGTTACAATGAAGCAACAACAAAACAAAAGGCTATTGTACGGACCACGTTGCATCAATAGAAGTAGGACGTTGCTTTGTGCACCGAATCAAGATGTTGTACCTATTTGTGTGTATATATATATATATATATATATATATATATATATATGCATCAATGTGAAGATAAATATTGTAATTTGTCTCAATGGTGCCTTGTAAGGTATTTGGTCCAGATATATTACCCCTCAATTTACCAAGTATTTGTTATTTGACATAATTTGAGTAAAGAGAGCAAAAGTTATTGGGTCTCAACTTTACTGGATCAGTTGATCATTATGATATATTTCCTATCATGCAAATAGGATGAGTTTGTATATATTAAGTATTGTTTATGTTTTTTGGGTCAAATGTATGATTTTTGCTATGATATATTATTGGATAATTGACGGAAATGATGGTATTGGTTAGTGATAGTCAGTTAACACATGGGCACTTTGGCACTTTGGCACATACATTCTTATTAAAGGTTCCGTCCATGTACGAAAACGTGGAGTCATAGCGATGTACAAGCTCTGAACAGAGCATAGCGGTGTGCAACAACCAGTTAGAGCATAGTGATGTACAAGAACCAACCAGAGCAAAGCAATGTATAACAACCAATCAGATCATAACGATGTACAACCTCTGAACAGAGCATAGCGGTGTGCAACAACCAGTTAAAGCATAGTGATGTAAAAAAAACAATCAGAGCACAGCAACGTATAACAACCAATCAGATCATAGCGATGCCAACAACCAATGAGCATGTCGATATCAACATCAAACATGGCACAGCTACGTCAACAACCTACCATACCATAGCTATATTAACAGATTGCGATGTCAACTTCCGAACAATCATATTGATGTTAACATCCGATGTGTGCATGGATTAACAGTCCTTCAGATCTCCCAACAAATAAAAATAAACATCATGATATTCCTTAATTACCGGATATACTTTCTCTTTCGCAAACACCTGGTGTCATCACTGATTTTCAGTGATTCATTCATATGACCGTCACCACTATTTTGCCTTTGGCGCTTGGAGACACCTATTTACTATTACACTCAATGGACAGCATGGCGCACAATGTGACTTGAGCCACATATAATTGGTACCACGTCTGCCTTGTCACCGGAATCTTCTACTTGTGATGAGACTCTGAATGATGAATATGAACTGTTTCTGTCCTGACAATGTTTTATTGCGTTCCTCCGGCTGATCATGCGAAATGTGTATATTCAGCCTGTATCGACTGGGAACCACGTCGGTAGGGGGCGTCAGTTCACCTTGAAACAATTCCGGGAGATGAAACCTCGTTTCTTCACCTACACCCGTCTCTAAGCCTTCCTGACGAAAACCGAAATACTTGGCACAAATCTCTTGAATTCAACCAGTCATAACGTCAGACACTGTTGGTGGAATAAACAGGATTAATAAATACAATATGATTGTACTGTATGGATATCTAGACACTGTATTTGTCAGTATTGGAAATTCATAATGTTTGTATTTCTACAATGAAAACAATAGTATAACAATAAATAATTATCGAAAAATTCGCCCAAAAACCCCCAACATTCTTGTCATTCAAGACCTTGATTGATGCCATCGTCTACACTATCTGTATGTAGTTAACTGACGAGTGTAAGTGTTACCACTAACCCTATAACATTGCCTCCTACCTGTATTTATACTTGTCAACCATACTCTGTATATCACTTGCTTGATAAGGGTGTTAGAACCTACACCTCAACGTAGCTCTTAATTGTAATAAAGAAGTTGTTCATCCATAAATTCTTATCCCTACTCACTTACCCTATGCTTGAAGCCTATGTGATAGAATGGACAGCGGGTTTGAATTCTGTATCATACGTGAAACATGTAAAGTACTGTAACAGTTTGAGCAATGTTAAGAGATTAAAAATACGCTTTCGTTTTTCATTATTATACTGAGCATTGTGAAACTTACCATTAACGGTACGGTATTAGGGGCGTTGGCTGCACTACAGGCCTATCGATTCGAAACTGAAATAAATATATAAATATCCAAATATCCAATGCATGACGATAAACAGAGTCATTGAAGAACAGTATACAACATCATGTACTGCACACAGGCTTACGTAAGTGTGTGACTTGTGAAACAGAACCTGACATTTAAGTGAGAAGTTGCTTTTTGTCGGATACAAAGTGCGATAATTATCAAGAAAACACGATGTCTTTAAATCAAATGTATCTGCAAATCAGAACAAAATATCAGTATGTAAGTTCATTGGCACGAGATGACATGTATATTATTCACGCTTAGCATGGCGGGTAGACTTACATCAATATTCGGGTCCAGAGCATCAAAGTACCACACCGGGTTAATGGCGGAGGCTGCAGAGATAAAAGGGTGTACATGTTAGGGGACCCATGAAGATCCAGGGTAGAATAGGTCTTCAGCAACCTATGCTTGCCGTAAAAGGCGACTAAGCTTGTCGCGACTAACGGGATCGGGTGGTCAGGCTCGCTGACTTGGTTGATGCATGTCATCATATTCCAGTTACGTGGATCGATGCTCATGATGCCAATCACTGGATTGTCTGGTCCAGACTCGATTATTTACAGACGCCGTCATATAGCTGGAATATTGCTGAGTGCGGCGTTAAACAACAAATAAACAAACAAACAAAAGATGTTAGGGTATACAGGCGAGGTGTAGTGCCTGCCTTGGACATACATCCTGACATTACTATACATTAACACCTTCTCGGTCAATGACTTCTACGTATTTCAACGTGTTATGCTATGGCTATTCACCGTCTGAGCTATGCCTGGAAAACACGTCAGTGACGTCGTCATCGTCGGCGTCGTGGGGGTAGATGATGGGGTAGTCGAAGCCGCGGAACGAAGGTGCCTCGATGTCGGCGTCTCCCATGCTGGACATGCTGCCGAAGTTAGAGAACTGGCGCCAGTTGCGGGTATAACGAGGTTGGAAGGTACTTGTGGGCATGGTGAACGAGGCGCTAGAGGGAGGAAACAACATCCGGGTTAGTGTGTGTTTCCTGTTTTACGCCGCGCGGCGTGTAAGTAATCGAGTAATCAGGCAGACAACACACGACTGAAAGAATAATAGGAAACGCAAAGGCCGAATAATCAGGTCGACTATCTGAAGAAACAGATTCCACTGGGCGTGAAAGGCCAAATAGTGGTGAAAAAGATATGAATGGATCACTGAAGATCGGCGATGGCACCAGGGTAAAGGGTAAGCATGTCCTGCCCTCCCGGTAGCCCCCGCCACACACAAAACGTCCCTTGCCTTTTGGAGTCCTAGAGTCTGACCACCCAACGCAATGTAGACACATCTTGCGGCTAGCAGTAGTGTTCTGGGGAGTATCTTGCGGCCAGCAGTACTGTTCTGGGGAGTATCTTGCGGCCAGCAGTAGTGTTCTGGGGACTATCTTGCGGCTAGCAGTAATGTTCTGGGAAGTATCTTGCGGCCAGCAGTAGTGTTCTGGGGAGTATCTTGCGGCCAGCAGTAGTGTTCTGGGGACTATCTTGCGGCCAGCAGTAGTGTTCTGGGGAGTATCTTGCGGCCAGCAGTACTGTTCTGGGGAGTATCTTGCGGCCAGCAGTTGCATTCTGGGGGACTATCTTGCGGTCGGCAGTTGTGTTCTTGGGCACTGTTCCTACCCGTGTCTCCACAGACATTCTCTTATACACACAGTACAATAATGAGGACAGTACAGAAGAGTGCCAAATTTATAGTAGAACACCCGACAAACATGGACTATGAGTTCTGAAATAAATGGATAGACCTACCGTGACAACTAATGTCTTTATATTACTTCTCTGATGTCCTTTACCAACACGAGGTTCTGTTACTGTCCACTGTCCACTATGGGTAGCGAAAATATTATCACATCGGACATTGGCTGACGTTTGGTCCAGCCGTAACTTAAAGTTGAGATTCCAGATTGTGTTGATAATGTCAGGCAAAGAAAACAACCATACTTTCATATAAGCTTAAGATACTCTTAGCGCTAAGATGGCTTTGTACAACTGGACCCAAGTGTTTGAGAACCGAGAATACTTTTTTCCAAGCTTTGAATAGGTTAAGTAAATCTACCGCATACTGAGATACTGTTGGGACAACCTATGCACTCACTCACAGAACACGCATGTCCAACCTTACCTGTCATCAAGCGGAGGACGGCGTCTTCGTCGACGTCTCCGGTACATTGCTAGTCCACAGCACGATGCTAGAAGGGCGACCACGGCCATGATGGCGACAGGAACAAAGATGGAGACAAGGTAGTCATCGTTTGGAGGGACGGTGGGTCTCGGGGCGTGGACTGCTAGGAACTGACAAAACTCACCATTGCGAGTAGATGGGCATCTGAAATTGTAAGTCCAGATGGAATATTGACTATGGCCATAAAGTCTTATGTATATGTATAAATCAACAGTTACATATAACCTGGAGATATCAGCAGCATATAAAGGTCTATGAGAAGTCTGTGGTTGTCACCTGCACATTGCGTCAGTGTTGTTAGCCATGCAGTACCCGTCGTTACAGTCCCCCGTGGCGTTGTATAGGGAACATGGGTTGTAGGTGACGTTCACCCCGATGTCCACTGAAACAGAAAACTGATCTACAGTGTGTGTTCAAACGGTTATGACTTACGAGTCGGTGCCAACAGGAACGGAGAAGATTAATTTTTCAGGGGAAGACACTATTGACATGTCTCAGGGGGAAAGGCTAAAGGCATGTTTCAGGAGGGGAAGAGGCTATGGACATGTTTCAAGAGGAGAAGAGGCTATTGACATGTTTCAAGAGGAGAAGAGGCTATTGACATGTTTCAAGAGGAGAAGAGGCTATGGACATGTTTCAAGAGGAGAAGAGGCTATGGACATGTTTCAAGAGGAGAAGAGGCTATGGACATGTTTCAAGAGGAGAAGAGGCTATTGACATGTTTCAAGAGGAGAAGAGGCTATTGACATGTTTCAAGAGGAGAAGAGGCTATGGACATGTTTCAAGAGGAGAAGAGGCTATGGACATGTTTCAAGAGGAGAAGAAGCTATTGATATTTTTCAGAGGAAGAGGCTCATTTGACCTTTGATTTTCGCATCTCTATATGACCCCAACGGATTTCGTTTTTATCCGTTGTTTTTTCCTGCCGAGAAACCTACCCGTTATAGGATATATAAACATATTATTTTGCCCCGCTACCCAATGAATCACACAAGAAATGATTACTCCCCACTCACCACATTTTTCTTGACAAGTCTGTTTGTCGATGTCACAGACACGAGGTGTTAAGACATTCACTTCACAGGAAGTATTGGGAATAAGAAACGTGGGTGCCTTGGATTCCAGAAAGTTTCTTAAACTGTTGGTTGACCTGAGCTTGTCGCGGGGGTCTTGTCTATGTCCAGGCACATATATCAGGTGTACTTTGAGCAGGGTACCGTTGTCACTGGAGACAAGAGGTACACGGAATCACATTTTTCACAGTCTATTTTCGTATTAGCAGATGATTATTCAGCAAGAAAGTTGTAAGATATCTGTATCAATAATTAGAGGTCAAACTATTGGCAACCCGCGTCTTGGGACATACATAATACTGAGAAGAAGTTGAAGGACAACCAATTTTTTCAAATTACTATAGTTATGAAAAAATCGGGTGTACTTTAACTTCTACTCAGTGGTATATTAATGTAACGGAAGAATCTATTTCCATTGAACATGGAATGAGGTGAAGTGTGACGCGCTAGTGGTTTTACACACTGTACCCATGTGGGCTTCAAACCCGGCACTTCGACGACTTGACGAGCTAGCACTTTAACCACAAGACTACATCACCGTCCCCTATGCACAGCTGCCCCGAACGCATGTACTATTTTAATCATGTATGTTGATTTAAGTGATTAAATATATTCATGAAACTGTGAACGCATTTATTTTACGAAAGTAATATTACCCCATGATTAAATTTGCAGCTATTTCGGAGGTGTTGCAAAGACGTATTTACACATATTTGCTCTCTATGTAAATTGCTCATGTAACGCGAAGCAATGTTACTCACGGGAGTATTTTATTTGAACTTTTCACTACAGACTGTTACATCACATCTATTTTAGTATCAGTCTAACTACAATGACGCCAGTCTCAAGACAGACACACCGCTTCATGTTGTTCTCTGTTGGCTTGATTGAGCATTGGCATGATTTCTTCAAGGTGAGGTGAGGTGAAATGGGGTTTAACGTCGCGTCAAAGATGATTTCATTTATATAGCGACGTGCATGCACGTGTGTGTGCCTGCTTGTACTATCCCGGACTGATGCCGATTTATAGTGTTAGCACACTGAGATACCATGACGCAGTTTAACATGAATACCCCACTCAGACACAGTATACTGACTCCGAGCCGACCAGTCCTTGTTTTAGCCCCTTAATGCCGAGCGCCAGACAGAGTAACAAGTACCATCTTTTAACGTCTTTTGGTTTGACGCGCCCGGGGATCGAACCCCGGACCTTCCGCTATCCGGGCGGACGCTCTACCACTAGACCACGGCGGCGGTCTTCTTCGATGTATAAAGAATATACAAGAGGACAAACATGTATAGATGCAAATCTCGCCATCTTGAGGTCTAGATTTAAACTAGAAATGTTTCAAACGTGATTGCCGATATTAGTGATAAGATATATTCTCGTTTTGTTGCAACCACGCGAACACATAACTGTTTTACTGTTACTTATGTCAGGAAATGAACTCCTCAAGATATTTTTTATTCATAGGAGTAAATTTAATTCATGCAGTCGAATTGTTAGATGTGACAAGACACAAACTTGCTTCGATCACAGCCAACATTATGCTGTCATGACATGTTCCAAAAGATGTAGCCCGCCAACTAATTTATTAGCAAACGTTACCTGAACTGACTACTTACACAACCGAGACTTCAACTGCAGTGACGTTAGGAAGATCTGCAAACACTTCATTCTGAAACTTATAAAGGTGACTTGTTTGAGTAAATTTTGAGAATTAATAAAAATAGGAATTAGAATGCACTGTGTTCATGATTGCTAGAAGAATGACTTTCCTAGGATTTATTTAACCATGTGTTCTTTTGAAATTCTGTTTGGCCAGTGTCAGATGTTGAAGTTAGTACGGAACACGATTTTAACGAAGAGAGTGAGTATGGGTTTGCCCCGCTTTAAGCATTTTCCAGCAATATCACGGCGGGGGACACCAGAATTAGGCTTCACACATTGTACCCATGTGGGGAATCGAACCCAGGCCTTCAGCGTGACGAGCGAACGCTTTAACCATTAGGCTAGCCCATCGCCCCCTTTTAATGAACAAGGTCCATACTAAAGTGACAGTATGGGGATCACCATGAGAAATATTGACATGAATCTCAAATAAGTTAGTAAAGCATGAATAACATATAAATACATTCACCATCATCCCCAGTTGTTGGACATTTTCACTCTTCAAAGAACTGTTGCACTGTATATCTAATGAAAACATTGCCTTTGTTGATTCTGGAAAAGAGTCCACAGAGTTACAATGTGAAGTTTTGCAGGGCAAGATTCATCGTCTACTAAAAAGGTTGTTCTATTAGCAATTTCAGTTTAACTTGTGCTTGAATACACTTAGCTTAAGTGAAAACGTTTTAATGTATTACAAGACACATTCATAAAAATATTAACACATTTAAACTACGGATACACCGGATACCAAGCGACCGACCAAGACTCATACAGGCAGTACACCTTCTAAATATACCATATATAATGGGAAGATACTGACTTGCGCTACATTGTTCTGTAGATGATATAAGCGTGGAGGTCTCGATTGATGGTGTGAAAATCTCTTTCGTGGTGGGTGTCAACAGAGTTGAAAGCGTGGAGGTCTCGCTTGATGTCTCTGTGGCAGAAGAAATGGTTGTGGTAGATGTAGTTTCTGTTACAGCTGAGGATGCGTCAGTCACCATTTCTGACGTCGAGCTTTCCTCTGTTGTTGAAGCAGTAGAGGTTGAAGACGCCCAAGTCGCTGTGGTTTCTTGCGTCGTTGGCTCCACTGAGGAAGATGAATATGCAGTGGCAAGAGAGGCAGTGTCTATGGAGGCCGATTCAGTGGAAACAGTCAACGTTTCACTTGTTTGTGTGGTCGACGTTGTTTCTGTAGATTCCAGAGTGGACATTGTTGAGGTGGCTTTCATCGTAGTGGACTTGGTGGCGGAAACGTCAGTCAGCTGCCTATCTGTTGAAATTGATGCTTGATAAGGGCCAGGAGTTATGGTACTAGACGTTTCCTCTGTGGCTGTAGCAGTGGCCACTGCCGGGGGTGAAACCGTCTGTGTTGAAGATTCCTCTGTTGAGCCTTGAGTGGTATATTGGGCTTGGCTGCTGAACGTTGACTCGGAGGTGCTTGCTGCACTGGCCGAGCTTAACACTGAAGAGGTCATTGCTTCAGTGGTACTCTGTGAAGCTGATGTTGAGGTGGTGGATTGCTGAGAAAGAGTAGATCCTGTGTTTGTGACTTGGAACGTTGTTTCCGAGGGGGTAGAGTCAGTGCTAGCTTCTGATACCGTGGACGCTCCTCCCATTGTTGTATCAGTGGAGAGCTCTGTTGTCCGAGTGGAAGCAGCTGTTGTCGGTTCGATTGATGGTGTGAAAATCTCTTTCGTGGTTGGTGTCAACAGAGTTGAAAGCGTGGAGGTCTCGGTTGATGTCTCTGTGGCAGAAGAAATGGTTGTGGTAGATGTAGTTTCTGTTGAGGATGCGTCAGTCACCATTTCTGACGTCGAGCTTTCCTCTGTTGTTGAAGCAGTAGAGGCTGAAGACGCCCCAGCCGCTGTGGTTTCTTGTGTCGTTGGCTCCACTGAGGAAGATGAAGATGCAGTAGCAAGAGAGGCAGTGTCTGTGGAGGCCGATTCAGTGGAAACAGTCAACGTTTCACTTGTTTGTGTGGTCGACGTTGCTTCTGTAGATTCCAGAGTGGACATTGTTGAGGTGGCTTCCATCGTATTGGACGTGGTGGCGGAAACGTCAGTCAGATGCCTTTCTGTTGAAATTGATGCTTGATAAGGGCCAGGAGTTATCGTACTTGACGTTTCCTCTGTGGCTGTAGCAGTGGCCACTGCAGGGGGTGAAACTGTCTGTGTTGAAGATTCCTCTGTTGAGCCTTGAGTGGTATATTGGGCTTGGCTGCTGAACGTGGACTCGGAGGTGCTTGCTTCACTGGTCGACATAAACACTGAAGAGGTCATTGCTTCAGTGGTACTCTCTGAAGCTGATAAGGTGGTGGATTGCTGCGAAAGAGTAGATCCTGTGTTTGTGACTTGGAAGGTTGTTTCCGAGGGGGTAGAGTCAGTGCTAGCTTCTGATACCGTGGACGCTTCTCCCATTGCTGTATTAGTGGGGAGCTCTGTTGTCCGAGTGGAAGCAGCTGTTTTCGGTTCGATTGACGGGGTGATAGTCTTTTTCGTGGTTGGTGTCAACAGAGTTGAAAGCGTGGAGGTCTCGGTTGATGTCTCTGTGGCAGAAGAAATGGTTGTGGTAGATGTAGTTTCTGTTACAGCTGAGGATGCGTCAGTCACCATTTCTGACGTCGAGCTTTCCTCTGTTGTTGAAGCAGTAGAGGTTGAAGACGCCCCAGTCGCTGTGGTTTCTTGCGTCGTTGGCTCCACTGAGGAAGATGAAGATGCAGTAGCAAGAGAGGCAGTGTCTGTGGAGGCCGATTCAGTGGACACAGTCAACGGTTCACTTGTTTGTGTGGTCGACGTTGCTTCTGTAGATTCCAGAGTGGACATTGTTGAGGTGGCTTCCATCGTAGTGGACGTGGTGGCGGAAACGTCAGTCAGATGCCTTTCTGTTGAAATTGATGCTTGATAAGGGCCAGGAGTTATGGTACTTGACGTTTCCTCTGTTGCTGTAGCAGTGGCCACTGCAGGGGGTGCAACTGTCTGTGTTGAAGATTCCTCTGTTGATGCTTGATAAGGGCCAGGAGTTATTGTACTTGACGTTTCCTCTGTGGCTGTAGCAGTGGCCACTGCAGGGGGTGAAACCGTCTGTGTTGAAGATTCCTCTGTTGAACCTTGATTGGTATATTGGGCTTGGCTGCTGAACGTGAACTCGGAGGTGCTTGCTTCACTGATCGAGCTAAACACTGAAGAGGTCATTGCTTCAGTAGTACTCTCTGAAGCTGATGTTGAGGTGGTGGATTGCTGAGAAAGAGTAGATCCTGTGTTTGTGACTTGGAAGGTTGTTTCCGAGGGGGTAGACTCAGTGCTAGCTTCTGATACCGTGGACGCTTCTCCCATTGTTGTATCAGTGGAGAGCTCTGTTGTCCGAGTGGAAGCAGCTGTTGTCGGTTCGATTGATGGGGTGATAGTCTCTTTCGTGGTGGGTGTCAACAGAGTTGAAAGCGTGGAGGTCTCGGTTGATGTCTCTGTGGCAGAAGAAATTGTTGTGGTAGATGTAGTTTCTGTTACGATTGAGGATGCGTCAGTCACCATTTCTGACGTCGAGCTTTCCTCTGTTGTTGAAGCAGTAGAGGTTGAAGACGCCCAAGTCGCTGTGGTTTCTTGCGTCGTTGGCTCCACTGAGTAAGATGAAGATGCAGTAGCAAGAGAGGCAGTGTCTGTGGAGGCCGATTCAGTGGAAACAGTCAACGGTTCACTTGTTTGTGTGGTCGACGTTGCTTCTGTAGATTCCAGAGTGGACATTGTTGAGGTGGCTTCCATCGTAGTGGACTTGGTGGCGGAAACGTCAGTCAGATGCCTTTCTGTTGAAATTGATGCTTGATAAGGGCCAGGAGTTATTGTACTTGACGTTTCCTCTGTGGCTGTAGCAGTGGCCACTGCAGGGGGTGAAACCGTCTGTGTTGAAGATTCCTCTGTTGAACCTTGATTGGTATATTGGGCTTGGCTGCTGAACGTGAACTCGGAGGTGCTTGCTTCACTGATCGAGCTAAACACTGAAGAGGTCATTGCTTCAGTAGTACTCTCTGAAGCTGATGTTGAGGTGGTGGATTGCTGAGAAAGAGTAGATCCTGTGTTTGTGACTTGGAAGGTTGTTTCCGAGGGGGTAGACTCAGTGCTAGCTTCTGATACCGTGGACGCTTCTCCCATTGTTGTATCAGTGGAGAGCTCTGTTGTCCGAGTGGAAGCAGCTGTTGTCGGTTCGATTGATGGGGTGATAGTCTCTCTCGTGGTGGGTGTCAACAGAGTTGAAAGCGTGGAGGTCTCGGTTGATGTCTCTGGGGCAGAAGAAATTGTTGTGGTAGATGTAGTTTCTGTTACGATTGAGGATGCGTCAGTCACCATTTCTGACGTCGAGCTTTCCTCTGTTGTTGAAGCAGTAGAGGTTGAAGACGCCCCAGTCGCTGTGGTTTCTTGCGTCGTTGGCTCCACTGAGGAAGATGAAGATGCAGTAGCAAGAGAGGCAGTGTCTGTGGAGGCCGATTCAGTGGAAACAGTCAACGGTTCACTTGTTTGTGTGGTCGACGTTGCTTCTGTAGATTCCAGAGTGGACATTGTTGAGGTGGCTTCCATCGTAGTGGACTTGGTGGCGGAAACGTCAGTCATATGCCTTTCTGTTGAAATTGATGCTTGATAAGGGCCAGGAGTTATTGTACTTGACGTTTCCTCTGTGGCTGTAGCAGTGGCCACTGCAGGGGGTGAAACCGTCTGTGTTGAAGATTCCTCTGTTGAGCCTTGAGTGGTATATTGGGCTTGGCTGCTGAACGTGGACTCGGAGGTGCTTGCTTCACTGATCGAGCTAAACACTGAAGAGGTCATTGCTTCAGTAGTACTCTGTGAAGCTGATGTTGAGGTGGTGGATTGCTGAGAAAGAGTAGATCCTGTGTTTTTGACTTGGAAGGTTGTTTCCGAGGGGGTAGACTCAGTGCTAGCTTCTGATACCGTGGACGATTCTCCCATTGCTGTATTAGTGGAGAGCTCTGTTGTCCGAGTGGAAGCAGCTGTTTTCGGTTCGATTGACGGGGTGATAGTCTTTTTCGTGGTTGGTGTCAACAGAGTTGAAAGCGTGGAGGTCTCGGTTGATGTCTCTGTGGCAGAAGAAATGGTTGTGGTAGATGTAGTTTCTGTTACAGCTGAGGATGCGTCAGTCACCATTTCTGACGTCGAGCTTTCCTCTGTTGTTGAAGCAGTAGAGGTTGAAGACGCCCCAGTCGCTGTGGTTTCTTGCGTCGTTGGCTCCACTGAGGAAGATGAAGATGCAGTAGCAAGAGAGGCAGTGTCTGTGGAGGCCGATTCAGTGGACACAGTCAACGGTTCACTTGTTTGTGTGGTCGACGTTGCTTCTGTAGATTCCAGAGTGGACATTGTTGAGGTGGCTTCCATCGTAGTGGACGTGGTGGCGGAAACGTCAGTCAGATGCCTTTCTGTTGAAATTGATGCTTGATAAGGGCCAGGAGTTATGGTACTTGACGTTTCCTCTGTTGCTGTAGCAGTGGCCACTGCAGGGGGTGCAACTGTCTGTGTTGAAGATTCCTCTGTTGATGCTTGATAAGGGCCAGGAGTTATTGTACTTGACGTTTCCTCTGTGGCTGTAGCAGTGGCCACTGCAGGGGGTGAAACCGTCTGTGTTGAAGATTCCTCTGTTGAACCTTGATTGGTATATTGGGCTTGGCTGCTGAACGTGAACTCGGAGGTGCTTGCTTCACTGATCGAGCTAAACACTGAAGAGGTCATTGCTTCAGTAGTACTCTCTGAAGCTGATGTTGAGGTGGTGGATTGCTGAGAAAGAGTAGATCCTGTGTTTGTGACTTGGAAGGTTGTTTCCGAGGGGGTAGAGTCAGTGCTAGCTTCTGATACCGTGGACGCTTCTCCCATTGTTGTATCAGTGGAGAGCTCTGTTGTCCGAGTGGAAGCAGCTGTTGTCGGTTCGATTGATGGGGTGATAGTCTCTCTCGTGGTGGGTGTCAACAGAGTTGAAAGCGTGGAGGTCTCGCTTGATGTCTCTGGGGCAGAAAAAATGGTTGTGGTAGATGTAGTTTCTGTTACAGCTGTGGATGCGTCAGTCACCATTTCTGACGTCGAGCTTTCCTCTGTTGTTGAAGCAGTAGAGGTTGAAGACGCCCCAGTCGCTGTGGTTTCTTGCGTCGTTGGCTCCACTGAGGAAGATGAAGATGCAGTGGCAAGAGAGGCAGTGTCTGTGGAGGCCGATTCAGTGGAAACAGTCAACGGTTCACTTGTTTGTGTGGTCGACGTTGCTTCTGTAGATTCCAGAGTGGACATTGTTGAGGTGGCTTCCATCGTAGTGGACGTGGTGGCGGAAACGTCAGTCAGATGCCTTTCTGTTGAAATTGATGCTTGATAAGGGCCAGGAGTTATTGTACTTGACGTTTCCTCTGTGGCTGTAGCAGTGGCCACTGCAGGGGGTGAAACCGTCTGTGTTGAAGATTCCTCTGTTGAGCCTTGAGTGGTATATTGGGCTTGGCTGCTGAACGTGGACTCGGAGGTGCTTGCTTCACTGATCGAGCTAAACACTGAAGAGGTCATTGCTTCAGTAGTACTCTGTGAAGCTGATGTTGAGGTGGTGGATTGCTGAGAAAGAGTAGATCCTGTGTTTTTGACTTGGAAGGTTGTTTCCGAGGGGGTAGACTCAGTGCTAGCTTCTGATACCGTGGACGATTCTCCCATTGCTGTATTAGTGGAGAGCTCTGTTGTCCGAGTGGAAGCAGCTGTTTTCGGTTCGATTGACGGGGTGATAGTCTTTTTCGTGGTTGGTGTCAACAGAGTTGAAAGCGTGGAGGTCTCGGTTGATGTCTCTGTGGCAGAAGAAATGGTTGTGGTAGATGTAGTTTCTGTTACAGCTGAGGATGCGTCAGTCACCATTTCTGACGTCGAGCTTTCCTCTGTTGTTGAAGCAGTAGAGGTTGAAGACGCCCCAGTCGCTGTGGTTTCTTGCGTCGTTGGCTCCACTGAGGAAGATGAAGATGCAGTAGCAAGAGAGGCAGTGTCTGTGGAGGCCGATTCAGTGGACACAGTCAACGGTTCACTTGTTTGTGTGGTCGACGTTGCTTCTGTAGATTCCAGAGTGGACATTGTTGAGGTGGCTTCCATCGTAGTGGACGTGGTGGCGGAAACGTCAGTCAGATGCCTTTCTGTTGAAATTGATGCTTGATAAGGGCCAGGAGTTATTGTACTTGACGTTTCCTCTGTTGCTGTAGCAGTGGCCACTGCAGGGGGTGCAACTGTCTGTGTTGAAGATTCCTCTGTTGATGCTTGATAAGGGCCAGGAGTTATTGTACTTGACGTTTCCTCTGTGGCTGTAGCAGTGGCCACTGCAGGGGGTGAAACCGTCTGTGTTGAAGATTCCTCTGTTGAACCTTGATTGGTATATTGGGCTTGGCTGCTGAACGTGAACTCGGAGGTGCTTGCTTCACTGATCGAGCTAAACACTGAAGAGGTCATTGCTTCAGTAGTACTCTCTGAAGCTGATGTTGAGGTGGTGGATTGCTGAGAAAGAGTAGATCCTGTGTTTGTGACTTGGAAGGTTGTTTCCGAGGGGGTAGAGTCAGTGCTAGCTTCTGATACCGTGGACGCTTCTCCCATTGTTGTATCAGTGGAGAGCTCTGTTGTCCGAGTGGAAGCAGCTGTTGTCGGTTCGATTGATGGGGTGATAGTCTCTCTCGTGGTGGGTGTCAACAGAGTTGAAAGCGTGGAGGTCTCGCTTGATGTCTCTGGGGCAGAAAAAATGGTTGTGGTAGATGTAGTTTCTGTTACAGCTGTGGATGCGTCAGTCACCATTTCTGACGTCGAGCTTTCCTCTGTTGTTGAAGCAGTAGAGGTTGAAGACGCCCCAGTCGCTGTGGTTTCTTGCGTCGTTGGCTCCACTGAGGAAGATGAAGATGCAGTGGCAAGAGAGGCAGTGTCTGTGGAGGCCGATTCAGTGGAAACAGTCAACGGTTCACTTGTTTGTGTGGTCGACGTTGCTTCTGTAGATTCCAGAGTGGACATTGTTGAGGTGGCTTCCATCGTAGTGGACGTGGTGGCGGAAACGTCAGTCAGATGCCTTTCTGTTGAAGTTGATGCTTGATAAGGGCCAGGAGTTATTGTACTTGACGTTTCCTCTGTTGCTGTAGCAGTGGCCACTGCAGGGGGTGCAACTGTCTGTGTTGAAGATTCCTCTGTTGAGCCTTGAGTGGTATATTGGGCTTGGCTGCTGAACGTGGACTCGGAGGTGCTTGCTTCACTGATCGAGCTAAACACTGAAGAGGTCATTGCTTCAGTAGTACTCTCTGAAGCTGATGTTGAGGTGGTGGATTGCTGAGAAAGAGTAGATCCCGTGTTTGTGACTTGGAAGGTTGTTTCCGAGGGGGTAGAGTCAGTGCTAGCTTCTGATACCGTGGACGCTTCTCCCATTGTTGTATCAGTGGAGAGCTCTGTTGTCCGAGTGGAAGCAGCTGTTGTCGGTTCGATTGATGGTGTGATAGTCTTTTTCGTGGTTGGTGTCAACAGAGTTGAAAGCGTGGAGGTCTCGGTTGATGTCTCTGTGGCAGAAGAAATTGTTGTGGTAGATGTAGTTTCTGTTACAGCTGTGGATGCGTCAGTCACCATTTCTGACTTCGAGCTTTCCTCTGTTGTTGAAGCAGTAGAGGTTGAAGACGCCCCAGTCGCTGTGGTTTCTTGCGTCGTTGGCTCCACTGAGGAAGATGAAGATGCAGTAGCAAGAGAGGCAGTGTCTGTGGAGGCCGATTCAGTGGAAACAGTCAACGGTTCACTTGTTTGTGTGGTCGACGTTGCTTCTGTAGATTCCAGAGTGGACATTGTTGAGGTGGCTTCCATCGTAGTGGATGTGGTGGCGGAAACGTCAGTCAGATGCCTTTCTGTTGAAATTGATGCTTGATAAGGACCAGGAGTTATTGTACTTGACGTTTCCTCTGTTGCTGTAGCAGTGGCCACTGCAGGGGGTGAAACCGTCTGTGTTGAAGATTCCTCTGTTGAGCCTTGAGTGGTATATTGGGCTTGGCTGCTGAACGTGGACTCGGAGGTGCTTGCTTCACTGATCGAGCTAAACACTGAAGAGGTCATTGCTTCAGTAGTACTCTGTGAAGCTGATGTTGAGGTGGTGGATTGCTGAGAAAGAGTAGATCCCGTGTTTGTGACTTGGAAGGTTGTTTCCGAGGGGGTAGAGTCAGTGCTAGCTTCTGATACCGTGGACGCTTCTCCCATTGTTGTATCAGTGGAGAGCTCTGTTGTCCGAGTGGAAGCAGCTGTTGTCGGTTCGATTGATGGTGTGATAGTCTCTCTCGTGGTGGGTGTCAACAGAGTTGAAAGCGTGGAGGTCTCGCTTGATGTCTCTGTGGCAGAAGAAATGGTTGTGGTAGATGTAGTTTCTGTTACAGCTGTGGATGCGTCAGTCACCATTTCTGACGTCGAGCTTTCCTCTGTTGTTGAAGCAGTAGAGGTTGAAGACGCCCCAGTCGCTGTGGTTTCTTGCGTCGTTGGCTCCACTGAGGAAGATGAAGATGCAGAAGCAAGAGAGGCAGTGTCTGTGGAGGCCGATTCAGTGGAAACAGTCAACGGTTCACTTGTTTGTGTGGTCGACGTTGCTTCTGTAGATTCCAGAGTGGACATTGTTGAGGTGGCTTCCATCGTAGTGGACGTGGTGGCGGAAACGTCAGTCAGATGCCTTTCTGTTGAAATTGATGCTTGATAAGGGCCAGGAGTTATTGTACTTGACGTTTCCTCTGTGGCTGTAGCAGTGGCCACTGCAGGGGGTGCAACTGTCTGTGTTGAAGATTCCTCTGTTGAGCCTTGAGTGGTATATTGGGCTTGGCTGCTGAACGTGGACTCGGAGGTGCTTGCTTCATTGATCGAGCTAAACACTGAAGAGGTCATTGCTTCAGTAGTACTCTCTGAAGCTGATGTTGAGGTGGTGGATTGCTGAGAAAGAGTAGATCCTGTGTTTGTGACTTGGAAGGTTGTTTCCGAGGGGGTAGAGTCAGTGCTAGCTTCTGATACCGTGGACGCTTCTCCCATTGTTGTATCAGTGGAGAGCTCTGTTGTCCGAGTGGAAGCAGCTGTTGTCGGTTCGATTGATGGGGTGATAGTCTCTCTCGTGGTGGGTGTCAACAGAGTTGAAAGCGTGGAGGTCTCGGTTGATGTCTCTGTGGCAGAAGAAATTGTTGTGGTAGATGTAGTTTCTGTTACAGCTGAGGATGCGTCAGTCACCATTTCTGACGTCGAGCTTTCCTCTGTTGTTGAAGCAGTAGAGGTTGAAGACGCCCCAGTCGCTGTGGTTTCTTGCGTCGTTGGCTCCACTGAGGAAGATGAAGATGCAGTGGCAAGAGAGGCAGTGTCTGTGGAGGCCGATTCAGTGGAAACAGTCAACGGTTCACTTGTTTGTGTGGTCGACGTTGCTTCTGTAGATTCCAGAGTGGACATTGTTGAGGTGGCTTCCATCGTAGTGGATGTGGTGGCGGAAACGTCAGTCAGATGCCTTTCTGTTGAAATTGATGCTTGATAAGGGCCAGGAGTTATTGTACTTGACGTTTCCTCTGTGGCTGTAGCAGTGGCCACTGCAGGGGGTGCAACTGTCTGTGTTGAAGATTCCTCTGTTGAGCCTTGAGTGGTATATTGGGCTTGGCTGCTGAACGTGGACTCGGAGGTGCTTGCTTCATTGATCGAGCTAAACACTGAAGAGGTCATTGCTTCAGTAGTACTCTCTGAAGCTGATGTTGAGGTGGTGGATTGCTGAGAAAGAGTAGATCCTGTGTTTGTGACTTGGAAGGTTGTTTCCGAGGGGGTAGAGTCAGTGCTAGCTTCTGATACCGTGGACGCTTCTCCCATTGTTGTATCAGTGGAGAGCTCTGTTGTCCGAGTGGAAGCAGCTGTTGTCGGTTCGATTGATGGGGTGATAGTCTCTCTCGTGGTGGGTGTCAACAGAGTTGAAAGCGTGGAGGTCTCGGTTGATGTCTCTGTGGCAGAAGAAATTGTTGTGGTAGATGTAGTTTCTGTTACAGCTGAGGATGCGTCAGTCACAATTTCTGACGTCGAGCTTTCCTCTGTTGTTGAAGCAGTAGAGGTTGAAGACGCCCCAGTCGCTGTGGTTTCTTGCGTCGTTGGCTCCACTGAGGAAGATGAAGATGCAGTGGCAAGAGAGGCAGTGTCTGTGGAGGCCGATTCAGTGGAAACAGTCAACGGTTCACTTGTTTGTGTGGTCGACGTTGCTTCTGTAGATTCCAGAGTGGACATTGTTGAGGTGGCTTCCATCGTAGTGGACTTGGTGGCGGAAACGTCAGTCAGATGCCTTTCTGTTGAAATTGATGCTTGATAAGGGCCAGGAGTTATTGTACTTGACGTTTCCTCTGTGGCTGTAGCAGTGGCCACTGCAGGGGGTGAAACCGTCTGTGTTGAAGATTCCTCTGTTGAGCCTTGAGTGGTATATTGGGCTTGGCTGCTGAACGTGGACTCGGAGGTGCTTGCTTCACTGATCGAGCTAAACACTGAAGAGGTCATTGCTTCAGTAGTACTCTCTGAAGCTGATGTTGAGGTGGTGGATTGCTGAGAAAGAGTAGATCCCGTGTTTGTGACTTGGAAGGTTGTTTCCGAGGGGGTAGAGTCAGTGCTAGCTTCTGATACCGTGGACGCTTCTCCCATTGTTGTATCAGTGGAGAGCTCTGTTGTCCGAGTGGAAGCAGCTGTTGTCGGTTCGATTGATGGTGTGATAGTCTCTCTCGTGGTGGGTGTCAACAGAGTTGAAAGCGTGGAGGTCTCGCTTGATGTCTCTGTGGCAGAAGAAATGGTTGTGGTAGATGTAGTTTCTGTTACAGCTGTGGATGCGTCAGTCACCATTTCTGACGTCGAGCTTTCCTCTGTTGTTGAAGCAGTAGAGGTTGAAGACGCCCCAGTCGCTGTGGTTTCTTGCGTCGTTGGCTCCACTGAGGAAGATGAAGATGCAGAAGCAAGAGAGGCAGTGTCTGTGGAGGCCGATTCAGTGGAAACAGTCAACGGTTCACTTGTTTGTGTGGTCGACGTTGCTTCTGTAGATTCCAGAGTGGACATTGTTGAGGTGGCTTCCATCGTAGTGGACTTGGTGGCGGAAACGTCAGTCAGATGCCTTTCTGTTGAAATTGATGCTTGATAAGGGCCAGGAGTTATTGTACTTGACGTTTCCTCTGTGGCTGTAGCAGTGGCCACTGCAGGGGGTGAAACCGTCTGTGTTGAAGATTCCTCTGTTGAGCCTTGAGTGGTATATTGGGCTTGGCTGCTGAACGTGGACTCGGAGGTGCTTGCTTCACTGATCGAGCTAAACACTGAAGAGGTCATTGCTTCAGTAGTACTCTCTGAAGCTGATGTTGAGGTGGTGGATTGCTGAGAAAGAGTAGATCCCGTGTTTTTGACTTGGAAGGTTGTTTCCGAGGGGGTAGAGTCAGTGCTAGCTTCTGATACCGTGGACGCTTCTCCCATTGTTGTATCAGTGGAGAGCTCTGTTGTCCGAGTGGAAGCAGCTGTTGTCGGTTCGATTGATGGGGTGATAGTCTCTCTCGTGGTGGGTGTCAACATAGTTGAAAGCGTGGAGGCCTCGGTTGATGTCTCTGTGGCAGAAGAAATGGTTGTGGTAGATGTAGTTTCTGTTACAGCTGAGGATGCGTCAGTCACCATTTCTGACGTCGAGCTTTCCTCTGTTGTTGAAGCAGTAGAGGTTGAAGACGCCCCAGTCGCTGTGGTTTCTTGCGTCGTTGGCTCCACTGAGGAAGATGAAGATGCAGTGGCAAGAGAGGCAGTGTCTGTGGAGGCCGATTCAGTGGAAACAGTCAACGGTTCACTTGTTTGTGTGGTCGACGTTGCTTCTGTAGATTCCAGAGTGGACATTGTTGAGGTGGCTTCCATCGTAGTGGATGTGGTGGCGGAAACGTCAGTCAGATGCCTTTCTGTTGAAATTGATGCTTGATAAGGACCAGGAGTTATTGTACTTGACGTTTCCTCTGTGGCTGTAGCAGTGGCCACTGCAGGGGGTGCAACTGTCTGTGTTGAAGATTCCTCTGTTGAGCCTTGAGTGGTATATTGGGCTTGGCTGCTGAACGTGGACTCGGAGGTGCTTGCTTCACTGATCGAGCTAAACACTGAAGAGGTCATTGCTTCAGTAGTACTCTCTGAAGCTGATGTTGAGGTGGTGGATTGCTGAGAAAGAGTAGATCCTGTGTTTGTGACTTGGAAGGTTGTTTCCGAGGGGGTAGAGTCAGTGCTAGCTTCTGATACCGTGGACGCTTCTCCCATTGTTGTATCAGTGGAGAGCTCTGTTGTCCGAGTGGAAGCAGCTGTTGTCGGTTCGATTGATGGGGTGATAGTCTCTCTCGTGGTGGGTGTCAACAGAGTTGAAAGCGTGGAGGTCTCGGTTGATGTGTCTGGGGCAGAAGAAATTGTTGTGGTAGATGTAGTTTCTGTTACAGCTGAGGATGCGTCAGTCACCATTTCTGACGTCGAGCTTTCCTCTGTTGTTGAAGCAGTAGAGGTTGAAGACGCCCCAGTCGCTGTGGTTTCTTGCGTCGTTGGCTCCACTGAGGAAGATGAAGATGCAGTAGCAAGAGAGGCAGTGTCTGTGGAGGCCGATTCAGTGGAAACAGTCAACGGTTCACTTGTTTGTGTGGTCGACGTTGCTTCTGTAGATTCCAGAGTGGACATTGTTGAGGTGGCTTCCATCGTAGTGGACGTGGTGGCGGAAACGTCAGTCAGATGCCTTTCTGTTGAAATTGATGCTTGATAAGGGCCAGGAGTTATGGTACTTGACGTTTCCTCTGTGGCTGTAGCAGTGGCCACTGCAGGGGGTGAAACTGTCTGTGTTGAAGATTCCTCTGTTGAGCCTTGAGTGGTATATTGGGCTTGGCTGCTGAACGTGGACTCGGAGGTGCTTGCTTCACTGATCGAGCTAAACACTGAAGAGGTCATTGCTTCAGTGGTACTCTCTGAAGCTGATGTTGAGGTGGTGGATTGCTGAGAAAGAGTAGATCCTGTGTTTGTGACTTGGAAGGTTGTTTCCGAGGGGGTAGACTCAGTGCTAGCTTCTGATACCGTGGACGCTTCTCCCATTGTTGTATCAGTGGAGAGCTCTGTTGTCCGAATGGAAGCAGCTGTTGTCGGTTCGATTGATGGGGTGATAGTCTCTCTCGTGGTGGGTGTCAACAGAGTTGAAAGCGTGGAGGTCTCGGTTGATGTCTCTGGGGCAGAAGAAATTGTTGTGGTAGATGTAGTTTCTGTTACAGCTGAGGATGCGTCAGTCACCATTTCTGACGTCGAGCTTTCCTCTGTTGTTGAAGATGTAGAGGTTGAAGACGCCCCAGTCGCTGTGGTTTCTGGCGTCGTTGGCTCCACTGAGGAAGATGAAGATGCAGTAGCAAGAGAGGCAGTGTCTGTGGAGGCCGATTCAGTGGAAACAGTCAACGGTTCACTTGTTTGTGTGGTCGACGTTGCTTCTGTAGATTCCAGAGTGGACATTGTTGAGGTGGCTTCCATCGTAGTGGACTTGGTGGCGGAAACGTCAGTCAGATGCCTTTCTGTTGAAATTGATGCTTGATAAGGGCCAGGAGTTATTGTACTTGACGTTTCCTCTGTGGCTGTAGCAGTGGCCACTGCAGGGGGTGAAACTGTCTGTGTTGAAGATTCCTCTGTTGAGCCTTGAGTGGTATATTGGGCTTGGCTGCTGAAAGTGGACTCGGAGGTGCTTGCTTCACTGATCGAGCTAAACACTGAAGAGGTCATTGCTTCAGTAGTACTCTCTGAAGCTGATGTTGAGGTGGTGGATTGCTGAGAAAGAGTAGATCCCGTGTTTGTGACTTGGAAGGTTGTTTCCGAGGGGGTAGACTCAGTGCTAGCTTCTGATACCGTGGACGCTTCTCCCATTGTTGTATCAGTGGAGAGCTCTGTTGTCCGAGTGGAAGCAGCTGTTGTCGGTTCGATTGATGGTGTGATAGTCTCTCTCGTGGTGGGTGTCAACAGAGTTGAAAGCGTGGAGGTCTCGGTTGATGTCTCTGGGGCAGAAGAAATTGTTGTGGTAGATGTAGTTTCTGTTACAGCTGAGGATGCGTCAGTCACCATTTCTGACGTCGAGCTTTCCTCTGTTGTTGAAGCAGTAGAGGTTGAAGACGCCCCAGTCGCTGTGGTTTCTTGCGTCGTTGGCTCCACTGAGGAAGATGAAGATGCAGTAGCAAGAGAGGCAGTGTCTGTGGAGGCCGATTCAGTGGAAACAGTCAACAGTTCACTTGTTTGTGTGGTCGACGTTGCTTCTGTAGATTCCAGAGTGGACATTGTTGAGGTGGCTTCCATCGTAGTGGACGTGGTGGCGGAAACGTCAGTCAGATGCCTTTCTGTTGAAATTGATGCTTGATAAGGGCCAGGAGTTATTGTACTTGACGTTTCCTCTGTGGCTGTAGCAGTGGCCACTGCAGGGGGTGAAACCGTCTGTGTTGAAGATTCCTCTGTTGAGCCTTGAGTGGTATATTGGGCTTGGCTGCTGAACGTGGACTCGGAGGTGCTTGCTTCACTGATCGAGCTAAACACTGAAGAGGTCATTGCTTCAGTAGTACTCTCTGAAGCTGATGTTGAGGTGGTGGATTGCTGAGAAAGAGTAGATCCCGTGTTTGTGACTTGGAAGGTTGTTTCCGAGGGGGTAGACTCAGTGCTAGCTTCTGATACCGTGGACGCTTCTCCCATTGTTGTATCAGTGGAGAGCTCTGTTGTCCGAGTGGAAGCAGCTGTTGTCGGTTCGATTGATGGTGTGATAGTCTCTCTCGTGGTGGGTGTCAACAGAGTTGAAAGCGTGGAGGTCTCGGTTGATGTCTCTGTGGCAGAAGAAATTGTTGTGGTAGATGTAGTTTCTGTTACAGCTGAGGATGCGTCAGTCACCATTTCTGACGTCGAGCTTTCCTCTGTTGTTGAAGCAGTAGAGGTTGAAGACGCCCCAGTCGCTGTGGTTTCTTGCGTCGTTGGCTCCACTGAGGAAGATGAAGATGCAGTAGCAAGAGAGGCAGTGTCTGTGGAGGCCGATTCAGTGGAAACAGTCAACGGTTCACTTGTTTGTGTGGTCGACGTTGCTTCTGTAGATTCCAGAGTGGACATTGTTGAGGTGGCTTCCATCGTAGTGGACGTGGTGGCGGAAACGTCAGTCAGATGCCTTTCTGTTGAAATTGATGCTTGATAAGGGCCAGGAGTTATTGTACTTGACGTTTCCTCTGTGGCTGTAGCAGTGGCCACTGCAGGGGGTGAAACCGTCTGTGTTGAAGATTCCTCTGTTGAGCCTTGAGTGGTATATTGGGCTTGGCTGCTGAACGTGGACTCGGAGGTGCTTGCTTCACTGATCGAGCTAAACACTGAAGAGGTCATTGCTTCAGTGGTACTCTCTGAAGCTGATGTTGAGGTGGTGGATTGCTGAGAAAGAGTAGATCCTGTGTTTGTGACTTGGAAGGTTGTTTCCGAGGGGGTAGACTCAGTGCTAGCTTCTGATACCGTGGACGCTTCTCCCATTGTTGTATCAGTGGAGAGCTCTGTTGTCCGAATGGAAGCAGCTGTTGTCGGTTCGATTGATGGTGTGATAGTCTCTCTCGTGGTGGGTGTCAACAGAGTTGAAAGCGTGGAGGTCTCGGTTGATGACTCTGTGGCAGAAGAAATGGTTGTGGTAGATGTAGTTTCTGTTACAGCTGAGGATGCGTCAGTCACCATTTCTGACGTCGAGCTTTCCTCTGTTGTTGAAGCAGTAGAGGTTGAAGACGCCCCAGTCGCTGTGGTTTCTTGCGTCGTTGGCTCCACTGAGGAAGATGAAGATGCAGTAGCAAGAGAGGCAGTGTCTGTGGAGGCCGATTCAGTGGAAACAGTCAACGGTTCACTTGTTTGTGTGGTCGACGTTGCTTCTGTAGATTCCAGAGTGGACATTGTTGAGGTGGCTTCCATCGTAGTGGACTTGGTGGCGGAAACGTCAGTCAGATGCCTTTCTGTTGAAATTGATGCTTGATAAGGGCCAGGAGTTATTGTACTTGACGTTTCCTCTGTGGCTGTAGCAGTGGCCACTGCAGGGGGTGAAACCGTCTGTGTTGAAGATTCCTCTGTTGAGCCTTGAGTGGTATATTGGGCTTGGCTGCTGAACGTGGACTCGGAGGTGCTTGCTTCACTGATCGAGCTAAACACTGAAGAGGTCATTGCTTCAGTAGTACTCTCTGAAGCTGATGTTGAGGTGGTGGATTGCTGAGAAAGAGTAGATCCCGTGTTTGTGACTTGGAAGGTTGTTTCCGAGGGGGTAGACTCAGTGCTAGCTTCTGATACCGTGGACGCTTCTCCCATTGTTGTATCAGTGGAGAGCTCTGTTGTCCGAGTGGAAGCAGCTGTTGTCGGTTCGATTGATGGTGTGATAGTCTCTCTCGTGGTGGGTGTCAACAGAGTTGAAAGCGTGGAGGTCTCGGTTGATGTCTCTGTGGCAGAAGAAATTGTTGTGGTAGATGTAGTTTCTGTTACAGCTGAGGATGCGTCAGTCACCATTTCTGACGTCGAGCTTTCCTCTGTTGTTGAAGCAGTAGAGGTTGAAGACGCCCCAGTCGCTGTGGTTTCTTGCGTCGTTGGCTCCACTGAGGAAGATGAAGATGCAGTAGCAAGAGAGGCAGTGTCTGTGGAGGCCGATTCAGTGGAAACAGTCAACAGTTCTCTTGTTTGTGTGGTCGACGTTGCTTCTGTAGATTCCAGAGTGGACATTGTTGAGGTGGCTTCCATCGTAGTGGACTTGGTGGCGGAAACGTCAGTCAGATGCCTTTCTGTTGAAATTGATGCTTGATTAGGGCCAGGAGTTATTGTACTTGACGTTTCCTCTGTGGCTGTAGCAGTGGCCACTGCAGGGGGTGAAACCGTCTGTGTTGAAGATTCCTCTGTTGAACCTTGAGTGGTATATTGGGCTTGGCTGCTGAACGTGGACTCGGAGGTGCTTGCTTCACTGATCGAGCTAAACACTGAAGAGGTCATTGCTTCAGTAGTACTCTCTGAAGCTGATGTTGAGGTGGTGGATTGCTGAGAAAGAGTAGATCCCGTGTTTGTGACTTGGAAGGTTGTTTCCGAGGGGGTAGACTCAGTGCTAGCTTCTGATACCGTGGACGCTTCTCCCATTGTTGTATCAGTGGAGAGCTCTGTTGTCCGAGTGGAAGCAGCTGTTGTCGGTTTGATTGATGGTGTGATAGTCTCTCTCGTGGTGGGTGTCAACAGAGTTGAAAGCGTGGAGGTCTCGGTTGATGTCTCTGGGGCAGAAGAAATGGTTGTGGTAGATGTAGTTTCTGTTACAGCTGAGGATGCGTCAGTCACCATTTCTGACGTCGAGCTTTCCTCTGTTGTTGAAGCAGTAGAGGTTGAAGACGCCCCAGTCGCTGTGGTTTCTTGCGTCGTTGGCTCCACTGAGGAAGATGAAGATGCAGTAGCAAGAGAGGCAGTGTCTGTGGAGGCCGATTCAGTGGAAACAGTCAACGGTTCACTTGTTTGTGTGGTCGACGTTGCTTCTGTAGATTCCAGAGTGGACATTGTTGAGGTGGCTTCCATCGTAGTGGACTTGGTGGCGGAAACGTCAGTCAGATGCCTTTCTGTTGAAATTGATGCTTGATAAGGGCCAGGAGTTATTGTACTTGACGTTTCCTCTGTGGCTGTAGCAGTGGCCACTGCAGGGGGTGAAACCGTCTGTGTTGAAGATTCCTCTGTTGAGCCTTGAGTGGTATATTGGGCTTGGCTGCTGAACGTGGACTCGGAGGTGCTTGCTTCACTGATCGAGCTAAACACTGAAGAGGTCATTGCTTCAGTAGTACTCTGTGAAGCTGATGTTGAGGTGGTGGATTGCTGAGAAAGAGTAGATCCTGTGTTTTTGACTTGGAAGGTTGTTTCCGAGGGGGTAGACTCAGTGCTAGCTTCTGATACCGTGGACGCTTCTCCCATTGTTGTATCAGTGGAGAGCTCTGTTGTCCGAATGGAAGCAGCTGTTGTCGGTTCGATTGATGGGGTGATAGTCTCTCTCGTGGTGGGTGTCAACAGAGTTGAAAGCGTGGAGGTCTCGGTTGATGTCTCTGGGGCAGAAGAAATTGTTGTGGTAGATGTAGTTTCTGTTACGATTGAGGATGCGTCAGTCACCATTTCTGACGTCGAGCTTTCCTCTGTTGTTGAAGCAGTAGAGGTTGAAGACGCCCCAGTCGCTGTGGTTTCTTGCGTCGTTGGCTCCACTGAGGAAGATGAAGATGCAGTAGCAAGAGAGACAGTGTCTGTGGAGGCCGATTCAGTGGAAACAGTCAACGGTTCACTTGTTTGTGTGGTCGACGTTGCTTCTGTAGATTCCAGAGTGGACATTGTTGAGGTGGCTTCCATCGTAGTGGACTTGGTGGCGGAAACGTCAGTCAGATGCCTTTCTGTTGAAATTGATGCTTGATAAGGGCCAGGAGTTATTGTACTTGACGTTTCCTCTGTGGCTGTAGCAGTGGCCACTGCAGGGGGTGAAACCGTCTGTGTTGAAGATTCCTCTGTTGAGCCTTGAGTGGTATATTGGGCTTGGCTGCTGAACGTGGACTCGGAGGTGCTTGCTTCACTGATCGAGCTAAACACTGAAGAGGTCATTGCTTCAGTAGTACTCTCTGAAGCTGATGTTGAGGTGGTGGATTGCTGAGAAAGAGTAGATCCTGTGTTTGTGACTTGGAAGGTTGTTTCCGAGGGGGTAGACTCAGTGCTAGCTTCTGATACCGTGGACGCTTCTCCCATTGTTGTATCAGTGGAGAGCTCTGTTGTCCGAATGGAAGCAGCTGTTGTCGGTTCGATTGATGGGGTGATAGTCTCTCTCGTGGTGGGTGTCAACAGAGTTGAAAGCGTGGAGGTCTCGGTTGATGTCTCTGGGGCAGAAGAAATTGTTGTGGTAGATGTAGTTTCTGTTACAGCTGAGGATGCGTCAGTCACCATTTCTGACGTCGAGCTTTCCTCTGTTGTTGAAGCAGTAGAGGTTGAAGACGCCCCAGTCGCTGTGGTTTCTTGCGTCGTTGGCTCCACTGAGGAAGATGAAGATGCAGTAGCAAGAGAGGCAGTGTCTGTGGAGGCCGATTCAGTGGAAACAGTCAACGGTTCACTTGTTTGTGTGGTCGACGTTGCTTCTGTAGATTCCAGAGTGGACATTGTTGAGGTGGCTTCCATCGTAGTGGACTTGGTGGCGGAAACGTCAGTCAGATGCCTTTCTGTTGAAATTGATGCTTGATAAGGGCCAGGAGTTATTGTACTTGACGTTTCCTCTGTGGCTGTAGCAGTGGCCACTGCAGGGGGTGAAACCGTCTGTGTTGAAGATTCCTCTGTTGAGCCTTGAGTGGTATATTGGGCTTGGCTGCTGAACGTGGACTCGGAGGTGCTTGCTTCACTGATCGAGCTAAACACTGAAGAGGTCATTGCTTCAGTAGTACTCTGTGAAGCTGATGTTGAGGTGGTGGATTGCTGAGAAAGAGTAGATCCTGTGTTTTTGACTTGGAAGGTTGTTTCCGAGGGGGTAGACTCAGTGCTAGCTTCTGATACCGTGGACGCTTCTCCCATTGTTGTATCAGTGGAGAGCTCTGTTGTCCGAATGGAAGCAGCTGTTGTCGGTTCGATTGATGGGGTGATAGTCTCTCTCGTGGTGGGTGTCAACAGAGTTGAAAGCGTGGAGGTCTCGGTTGATGTCTCTGTGGCAGAAGAAATTGTTGTGGTAGATGTAGTTTCTGTTACGATTGAGGATGCGTCAGTCACCATTTCTGACGTCGAGCTTTCCTCTGTTGTTGAAGCAGTAGAGGTTGAAGACGCCCCAGTCGCTGTGGTTTCTTGCGTCGTTGGCTCCACTGAGGAAGATGAAGATGCAGTAGCAAGAGAGGCAGTGTCTGTGGAGGCCGATTCAGTGGAAACAGTCAACGGTTCACTTGTTTGTGTGGTCGACGTTGCTTCTGTAGATTCCAGAGTGGACATTGTTGAGGTGGTTTCCATCGTAGTGGACTTGGTGGCGGAAACGTCAGTCAGATGCCTTTCTGTTGAAATTGATGCTTGATAAGGGCCAGGAGTTATTGTACTTGACGTTTCCTCTGTGGCTGTAGCAGTGGCCACTGCAGGGGGTGAAACCGTCTGTGTTGAAGATTCCTCTGTTGAGCCTTGAGTGGTATATTGGGCTTGGCTGCTGAACGTGGACTCGGAGGTGCTTGCTTCACTGATCGAGCTAAACACTGAAGAGGTCATTGCTTCAGTAGTACTCTCTGAAGCTGATGTTGAGGTGGTGGATTGCTGAGAAAGAGTAGATCCTGTGTTTGTGACTTGGAAGGTTGTTTCCGAGGGGGTAGACTCAGTGCTAGCTTCTGATACCGTGGACGCTTCTCCCATTGTTGTATCAGTGGAGAGCTCTGTTGTCCGAATGGAAGCAGCTGTTGTCGGTTCGATTGATGGGGTGATAGTCTCTCTCGTGGTGGGTGTCAACAGAGTTGAAAGCGTGGAGGTCTCGGTTGATGTCTCTGGGGCAGAAGAAATTGTTGTGGTAGATGTAGTTTCTGTTACGATTGAGGATGCGTCAGTCACCATTTCTGACGTCGAGCTTTCCTCTGTTGTTGAAGCAGTAGAGGTTGAAGACGCCCCAGTCGCTGTGGTTTCTTGCGTCGTTGGCTCCACTGAGGAAGATGAAGATGCAGAAGCAAGAGAGGCAGTGTCTGTGGAGGCCGATTCAGTGGAAACAGTCAACGTTTCACTTGTTTGTGTGGTCGACGTTGCTTCTGTAGATTCCAGAGTGGACATTGTTGAGGTGGCTTCCATCGTAGTGGACTTGGTGGCGGAAACGTCAGTCAGATGCCTTTCTGTTGAAATTGATGCTTGATAAGGGCCAGGAGTTATTGTACTTGACGTTTCCTCTGTGGCTGTAGCAGTGGCCACTGCAGGGGGTGAAACCGTCTGTGTTGAAGATTCCTCTGTTGAGCCTTGAGTGGTATATTGGGCTTGGCTGCTGAACGTGGACTCGGAGGTGCTTGCTTCACTGATCGAGCTAAACACTGAAGAGGTCATTGCTTCAGTAGTACTCTCTGAAGCTGATGTTGAGGTGGTGGATTGCTGAGAAAGAGTAGATCCCGTGTTTGTGACTTGGAAGGTTGTTTCCGAGGGGGTAGACTCAGTGCTAGCTTCTGATACCGTGGACGCTTCTCCCATTGTTGTATCAGTGGAGAGCTCTGTTGTCCGAGTGGAAGCAGCTGTTGTCGGTTCGATTGATGGTGTGATAGTCTCTCTCGTGGTGGGTGTCAACAGAGTTGAAAGCGTGGAGGTCTCGGTTGATGTCTCTGGGGCAGAAGAAATTGTTGTGGTAGATGTAGTTTCTGTTACGATTGAGGATGCGTCAGTCACCATTTCTGACGTCGAGCTTTCCTCTGTTGTTGAAGCAGTAGAGGTTGAAGACGCCCCAGTCGCTGTGGTTTCTTGCGTCGTTGGCTCCACTGAGGAAGATGAAGATGCAGTAGCAAGAGAGGCAGTGTCTGTGGAGGCCGATTCAGTGGAAACAGTCAACGGTTCACTTGTTTGTGTGGTCGACGTTGCTTCTGTAGATTCCAGAGTGGATATTGTTGAGGTGGCTTCCATCGTAGTGGACTTGGTGGCGGAAACGTCAGTCAGATGCCTTTCTGTTGAAATTGATGCTTGATTAGGGCCAGGAGTTATTGTACTTGACGTTTCCTCTGTGGCTGTAGCAGTGGCCACTGCAGGGGGTGAAACCGTCTGTGTTGAAGATTCCTCTGTTGAGCCTTGAGTGGTATATTGGGCTTGGCTGCTGAACGTGGACTCGGAGGTGCTTGCTTCACTGATCGAGCTAAACACTGAAGAGGTCATTGCTTCAGTAGTACTCTCTGAAGCTGATGTTGAGGTGGTGGATTGCTGAGAAAGAGTAGATCCCGTGTTTGTGACTTGGAAGGTTGTTTCCGAGTGGGTAGACTCAGTGCTAGCTTCTGATACCGTGGACGCTTCTCCCATTGTTGTATCAGTGGAGAGCTCTGTTGTCCGAGTGGAAGCAGCTGTTGTCGGTTCGATTGATGGTGTGATAGTCTCTCTCGTGGTGGGTGTCAACAGAGTTGAAAGCGTGGAGGTCTCGGTTGATGTCTCTGTGGCAGAAGAAATTGTTGTGGTAGATGTAGTTTCTGTTACAGCTGAGGATGCGTCAGTCACCATTTCTGACGTCGAGCTTTCCTCTGTTGTTGAAGCAGTAGAGGTTGAAGACGCCCCAGTCGCTGTGGTTTCTTGCGTCGTTGGCTCCACTGAGGAAGATGAAGATGCAGTAGCAAGAGAGGCAGTGTCTGTGGAGGCCGATTCAGTGGAAACAGTCAACGGTTCACTTGTTAATGTGGTCGACGTTGCTTCTGTAGATTCCAGAGTGGACATTGTTGAGGTGGCTTCCATCGTAGTGGACTTGGTGGCGGAAACGTCAGTCAGATGCCTTTCTGTTGAAATTGATGCTTGATTAGGGCCAGGAGTTATTGTACTTGACGTTTCCTCTGTGGCTGTAGCAGTGGCCACTGCAGGGGGTGAAACCGTCTGTGTTGAAGATTCCTCTGTTGAGCCTTGAGTGGTATATTGGGCTTGGCTGCTGAACGTGGACTCGGAGGTGCTTGCTTCACTGATCGAGCTAAACACTGAAGAGGTCATTGCTTCAGTAGTACTCTCTGAAGCTGATGTTGAGGTGGTGGATTGCTGAGAAAGAGTAGATCCCGTGTTTGTGACTTGGAAGGTTGTTTCAGAGGGGGTAGACTCAGTGCTAGCTTCTGATACCGTGGACGCTTCTCCCATTGTTGTATCAGTGGAGAGCTCTGTTGTCCGAGTGGAAGCAGCTGTTGTCGGTTCGATTGATGGGGTGATAGTCTCTCTCGTGGTGGGTGTCAACAGAGTTGAAAGCGTGGAGGTCTCGGTTGATGTCTCTGTGGCAGAAGAAATTGTTGTGGTAGATGTAGTTTCTGTTACAGCTGAGGATGCGTCAGTCACCATTTCTGACGTCGAGCTTTCCTCTGTTGTTGAAGCAGTAGAGGTTGAAGACGCCCCAGTCGCTGTGGTTTCTTGCGTCGTTGGCTCCACTGAGGAAGATGAAGATGCAGTAGCAAGAGAGGCAGTGTCTGTGGAGGCCGATTCAGTGGAAACAGTCAACAGTTCACTTGTTTGTGTGGTCGACGTTGCTTCTGTAGATTCCAGAGTGGACATTGTTGAGGTGGCTTCCATCGTAGTGGACTTGGTGGCGGAAACGTCAGTCAGATGCCTTTCTGTTGAAATTGATGCTTGATAAGGGCCAGGAGTTATTGTACTTGACGTTTCCTCTGTGGCTGTAGCAGTGGCCACTGCAGGGGGTGAAACCGTCTGTGTTGAAGATTCCTCTGTTGAGCCTTGAGTGGTATATTGGGCTTGGCTGCTGAACGTGGACTCGGAGGTGCTTGCTTCACTGATCGAGCTAAACACTGAAGAGGTCATTGCTTCAGTAGTACTCTGTGAAGCTGATGTTGAGGTGGTGGATTGCTGAGAAAGAGTAGATCCTGTGTTTTTGACTTGGAAGGTTGTTTCCGAGGGGGTAGACTCAGTGCTAGCTTCTGATACCGTGGACGCTTCTCCCATTGTTGTATCAGTGGAGAGCTCTGTTGTCCGAGTGGAAGCAGCTGTTGTCGGTTCGATTGATGGTGTGATAGTCTCTCTCGTGGTGGGTGTCAACAGAGTTGAAAGCGTGGAGGTCTCGGTTGATGTCTCTGTGGCAGAAGAAATGGTTGTGGTAGATGTAGTTTCTGTTACAGCTGAGGATGCGTCAGTCACCATTTCTGACGTCGAGCTTTCCTCTGTTGTTGAAGCAGTAGAGGTTGAAGACGCCCCAGTCGCTGTGGTTTCTTGCGTCGTTGGCTCCACTGAGGAAGATGAAGATGCAGTAGCAAGAGAGGCAGTGTCTGTGGAGGCCGATTCAGTGGAAACAGTCAACGGTTCACTTGTTTGTGTGGTCGACGTTGCTTCTGTAGATTCCAGAGTGGACATTGTTGAGGTGGCTTCCATCGTAGTGGACGTGGTGGCGGAAACGTCAGTCAGATGCCTTTCTGTTGAAATTGATGCTTGATAAGGGCCAGGAGTTATTGTACTTGACGTTTCCTCTGTGGCTGTAGCAGTGGCCACTGCAGGGGGTGCAACTGTCTGTGTTGAAGATTCCTCTGTTGAGCCTTGAGTGGTATATTGGGCTTGGCTGCTGAACGTGGACTCGGAGGTGCTTGCTTCACTGATCGAGCTAAACACTGAAGAGGTCATTGCTTCAGTAGTACTCTCTGAAGCTGATGTTGAGGTGGTGGATTGCTGAGAAAGAGTAGATCCCGTGTTTGTGACTTGGAAGGTTGTTTCCGAGGGGGTAGACTCAGTGCTTGCTTCTGATACCGTGGACGCTTCTCCCATTGTTGTATCAGTGGAGAGCTCTGTTGTCCGAGTGGAAGCAGCTGTTGTCGGTTCGATTGATGGTGTGATAGTCTCTCTCGTGGTGGGTGTCAACAGAGTTGAAAGCGTGGAGGTCTCGGTTGATGTCTCTGTGGCAGAAGAAATGGTTGTGGTAGATGTAGTTTCTGTTACAGCTGTGGATGCGTCAGTCACCATTTCTGACGTCGAGCTTTCCTCTGTTGTTGAAGCAGTAGAGGTTGAAGACGCCCCAGTCGCTGTGGTTTCTTGCGTCGTTGGCTCCACTGAGGAAGATGAAGATGCAGTAGCAAGAGAGACAGTGTCTGTGGAGGCCGATTCAGTGGAAACAGTCAATGGTTCACTTGTTTGTGTGGTCGACGTTGCTTCTGTAGATTCCAGAGTGGACATTGTTGAGGTGGCTTCCATCGTAGTGGACGTGGTGGCGGAAACGTCAGTCAGATGCCTTTCTGTTGAAATTGATGCTTGATAAGGGCCAGGAGTTATTGTACTTGACGTTTCCTCTGTGGCTGTAGCAGTGGCCACTGCAGGGGGTGCAACTGTCTGTGTTGAAGATTCCTCTGTTGAGCCTTGAGTGGTATATTGGGCTTGGCTGCTGAACGTGGACTCGGAGGTGCTTGCTTCACTGATCGAGCTAAACACTGAAGAGGTCATTGCTTCAGTAGTACTCTCTGAAGCTGATGTTGAGGTGGTGGATTGCTGAGAAAGAGTAGATCCCGTGTTTGTGACTTGGAAGGTTGTTTCCGAGGGGGTAGACTCAGTGCTTGCTTCTGATACCGTGGACGCTTCTCCCATTGTTGTATCAGTGGAGAGCTCTGTTGTCCGAGTGGAAGCAGCTGTTGTCGGTTCGATTGATGGTGTGATAGTCTCTCTCGTGGTGGGTGTCAACAGAGTTGAAAGCGTGGAGGTCTCGGTTGATGTCTCTGTGGCAGAAGAAATTGTTGTGGTAGATGTAGTTTCTGTTACAGCTGAGGATGCGTCAGTCACCATTTCTGACGTCGAGCTTTCCTCTGTTGTTGAAGCAGTAGAGGTTGAAGACGCCCCAGTCGCTGTGGTTTCTTGCGTCGTTGGCTCCACTGAGGAAGATGAAGATGCAGTAGCAAGAGAGACAGTGTCTGTGGAGGCCGATTCAGTGGAAACAGTCAACGGTTCACTTGTTTGTGTGGTCGACGTTGCTTCTGTAGATTCCAGAGTGGACATTGTTGAGGTGGCTTCCATCGTAGTGGACTTGGTGGCGGAAACGTCAGTCAGATGCCTTTCTGTTGAAATTGATGCTTGATTAGGGCCAGGAGTTATTGTACTTGACGTTTCCTCTGTGGCTGTAGCAGTGGCCACTGCAGGGGGTGAAACCGTCTGTGTTGAAGATTCCTCTGTTGAGCCTTGAGTGGTATATTGGGCTTGGCTGCTGAACGTGGACTCGGAGGTGCTTGCTTCACTGATCGAGCTAAACACTAAAGAGGTCATTGCTTCAGTAGTACTCTCTGAAGCTGATGTTGAGGTGGTGGATTGCTGAGAAAGAGTAGATCCCGTGTTTGTGACTTGGAAGGTTGTTTCCGAGTGGGTAGACTCAGTGCTAGCTTCTGATACCGTGGACGCTTCTCCCATTGTTGTATCAGTGGAGAGCTCTGTTGTCCGAGTGGAAGCAGCTGTTGTCGGTTCGATTGATGGTGTGATAGTCTCTCTCGTGGTGGGTGTCAACAGAGTTGAAAGCGTGGAGGTCTCGGTTGATGTCTCTGTGGCAGAAGAAATTGTTGTGGTAGATGTAGTTTCTGTTACAGCTGAGGATGCGTCAGTCACCATTTCTGACGTCGAGCTTTCCTCTGTTGTTGAAGCAGTAGAGGTTGAAGACGCCCCAGTCGCTGTGGTTTCTTGCGTCGTTGGCTCCACTGAGGAAGATGAAGATGCAGTAGCAAGAGAGACAGTGTCTGTGGAGGCCGATTCAGTGGAAACAGTCAACAGTTCACTTGTTTGTGTGGTCGACGTTGCTTCTGTAGATTCCAGAGTGGACATTGTTGAGGTGGCTTCCATCGTAGTGGACGTGGTGGCGGAAACGTCAGTCAGATGCCTTTCTGTTGAAATTGATGCTTGATAAGGGCCAGGAGTTATTGTACTTGACGTTTCCTCTGTGGCTGTAGCAGTGGCCACTGCAGGGGGTGAAACCGTCTGTGTTGAAGATTCCTCTGTTGAGCCTTGAGTGGTATATTGGGCTTGGCTGCTGAACGTGGACTCGGAGGTGCTTGCTTCACTGATCGAGCTAAACACTGAAGAGGTCATTACTTCAGTAGTACTCTCTGAAGCTGATGTTGAGGTGGTGGATTGCTGAGAAAGAGTAGATCCTGTGTTTGTGACTTGGAAGGTTGTTTCCGAGGGGGTAGACTCAGTGCTAGCTTCTGATACCGTGGACGCTTCTCCCATTGTTGTATCAGTGGAGAGCTCTGTTGTCCGAGTGGAAGCAGCTGTTGTCGGTTCGATTGATGGTGTGATAGTCTCTCTCGTGGTGGGTGTCAACAGAGTTGAAAGCGTGGAGGTCTCGGTTGATGTCTCTGGGGCAGAAGAAATGGTTGTGGTAGATGTAGTTTCTGTTACGATTGAGGATGCGTCAGTCACCATTTCTGACGTCGAGCTTTCCTCTGTTGTTGAAGCAGTAGAGGTTGAAGACGCCCCAGTCGCTGTGGTTTCTTGCGTCGTTGGCTCCACTGAGGAAGATGAAGATGCAGTAGCAAGAGAGGCAGTGTCTGTGGAGGCCGATTCAGTGGAAACAGTCAACGGTTCACTTGTTTGTGTGGTCGACGTTGCTTCTGTAGATTCCAGAGTGGACATTGTTGAGGTGGCTTCCATCGTAGTGGACTTGGTGGCGGAAACGTCAGTCAGATGCCTTTCTGTTGAAATTGATGCTTGATTAGGGCCAGGAGTTATTGTACTTGACGTTTCCTCTGTGGCTGTAGCAGTGGCCACTGCAGGGGGTGAAACCGTCTGTGTTGAAGATTCCTCTGTTGAGCCTTGAGTGGTATATTGGGCTTGGCTGCTGAACGTGGACTCGGAGGTGCTTGCTTCACTGATCGAGCTAAACACTGAAGAGGTCATTGCTTCAGTAGTACTCTGTGAAGCTGATGTTGAGGTGGTGGATTGCTGAGAAAGAGTAGATCCTGTGTTTTTGACTTGGAAGGTTGTTTCCGAGGGGGTAGACTCAGTGCTAGCTTCTGATACCGTGGACGCTTCTCCCATTGTTGTATCAGTGGAGAGCTCTGTTGTCCGAGTGGAAGCAGCTGTTGTCGGTTCGATTGATGGGGTGATAGTCTCTCTCGTGGTGGGTGTCAACAGAGTTGAAAGCGTGGAGGTCTCGGTTGATGTCTCTGTGGCAGAAGAAATGGTTGTGGTAGATGTAGTTTCTGTTACAGCTGAGGATGCGTCAGTCACCATTTCTGACGTCGAGCTTTCCTCTGTTGTTGAAGCAGTAGAGGTTGAAGACGCCCCAGTCGCTGTGGTTTCTTGCGTCGTTGGCTCCACTGAGGAAGATGAAGATGCAGTAGCAAGAGAGACAGTGTCTGTGGAGGCCGATTCAGTGGAAACAGTCAATGGTTCACTTGTTTGTGTGGTCGACGTTGCTTCTGTAGATTCCAGAGTGGACATTGTTGAGGTGGCTTCCATCGTAGTGGACGTGGTGGCGGAAACGTCAGTCAGATGCCTTTCTGTTGAAATTGATGCTTGATTAGGGCCAGGAGTTATTGTACTTGACGTTTCCTCTGTGGCTGTAGCAGTGGCCACTGCAGGGGGTGCAACTGTCTGTGTTGAAGATTCCTCTGTTGAGCCTTGAGTGGTATATTGGGCTTGGCTGCTGAACGTGGACTCGGAGGTGCTTGCTTCACTGATCGAGCTAAACACTGAAGAGGTCATTGCTTCAGTAGTACTCTCTGAAGCTGATGCTGAGGTGGTGGATTGCTGAGAAAGAGTAGATCCCGTGTTTGTGACTTGGAAGGTTGTTTCCGAGGGGGTAGACTCAGTGCTTGCTTCTGATACCGTGGACGCTTCTCCCATTGTTGTATCAGTGGAGAGCTCTGTTGTCCGAGTGGAAGCAGCTGTTGTCGGTTCGATTGATGGTGTGATAGTCTCTCTCGTGGTGGGTGTCAACAGAGTTGAAAGCGTGGAGGTCTCGGTTGATGTCTCTGTGGCAGAAGAAATGGTTGTGGTAGATGTAGTTTCTGTTACAGCTGAGGATGCGTCAGTCACCATTTCTGACGTCGAGCTTTCCTCTGTTGTTGAAGCAGTAGAGGTTGAAGACGCCCCAGTCGCTGTGGTATCTTGCGTCGTTGGCTCCACTGAGGAAGATGAAGATGCAGTAGCAAGAGAGGCAGTGTCTGTGGAGGCCGATTCAGTGGAAACAGTCAACAGTTCACTTGTTTGTGTGGTCGACGTTGCTTCTGTAGATTCCAGAGTGGACATTGTTGAGGTGGCTTCCATCGTAGTGGACGTGGTGGCGGAAACGTCAGTCAGATGCCTTTCTGTTGAAATTGATGCTTGATTAGGGCCAGGAGTTATTGTACTTGACGTTTCCTCTGTGGCTGTAGCAGTGGCCACTGCAGGGGGTGAAACCGTCTGTGTTGAAGATTCCTCTGTTGAGCTTTGAGTGGTATATTGGGCTTGGCTGCTGAACGTGGACTCGGAGGTGCTTGCTTCACTGATCGAGCTAAACACTGAAGAGGTCATTGCTTCAGTAGTACTCTCTGAAGCTGATGTTGAGGTGGTGGATTGCTGAGAAAGAGTAGATCCCGTGTTTGTGACTTGGAAGGTTGTTTCCGAGTGGGTAGACTCAGTGCTAGCTTCTGATACCGTGGACGCTTCTCCCATTGTTGTATCAGTGGAGAGCTCTGTTGTCCGAGTGGAAGCAGCTGTTGTCGGTTTGATTGATGGTGTGATAGTCTCTCTCGTGGTGGGTGTCAACAAAGTTGAAAGCGTGGAGGTCTCGGTTGATGTCTCTGTGGCAGAAGAAATTGTTGTGGTAGATGTAGTTTCTGTTACAGCTGAGGATGCGTCAGTCACCATTTCTGACGTCGAGCTTTCCTCTGTTGTTGAAGCAGTAGAGGTTGAAGACGCCCCAGTCGCTGTGGTTTCTTGCGTCGTTGGCTCCACTGAGGAAGATGAAGATGCAGTAGCAAGAGAGGCAGTGTCTGTGGAGGCCGATTCAGTGGAAACAGTCAACAGTTCACTTGTTTGTGTGGTCGACGTTGCTTCTGTAGATTCCAGAGTGGACATTGTTGAGGTGGCTTCCATCGTAGTGGACGTGGTGGCGGAAACGTCAGTCAGATGCCTTTCTGTTGAAATTGATGCTTGATTAGGGCCAGGAGTTATTGTACTTGACGTTTCCTCTGTGGCTGTAGCAGTGGCCACTGCAGGGGGTGCAACTGTCTGTGTTGAAGATTCCTCTGTTGAGCCTTGAGTGGTATATTGGGCTTGGCTGCTGAACGTGGACTCGGAGGTGCTTGCTTCACTGATCGAGCTAAACACTGAAGAGGTCATTGCTTCAGTAGTACTCTCTGAAGCTGATGTTGAGGTGGTGGATTGCTGAGAAAGAGTAGATCCTGTGTTTGTGACTTGGAAGGTTGTTTCCGAGGGGGTAGACTCAGTGCTTGCTTCTGATACCGTGGACGCTTCTCCCATTGTTGTATCAGTGGAGAGCTCTGTTGTCCGAGTGGAAGCAGCTGTTGTCGGTTCGATTGATGGTGTGATAGTCTCTCTCGTGGTGGGTGTCAACAGAGTTGAAAGCGTGGAGGTCTCGGTTGATGTCTCTGTGGCAGAAGAAATTGTTGTGGTAGATGTAGTTTCTGTTACAGCTGAGGATGCGTCAGTCACCATTTCTGACGTCGAGCTTTCCTCTGTTGTTGAAGCAGTAGAGGTTGAAGACGCCCCAGTCGCTGTGGTTTCTTGCGTCGTTGGCTCCACTGAGGAAGATGAAGATGCAGTAGCAAGAGAGACAGTGTCTGTGGAGGCCGATTCAGTGGAAACAGTCAACGGTTCACTTGTTTGTGTGGTCGACGTTGCTTCTGTAGATTCCAGAGTGGACATTGTTGAGGTGGCTTCCATCGTAGTGGACTTGGTGGCGGAAACGTCAGTCAGATGCCTTTCTGTTGAAATTGATGCTTGATAAGGGCCAGGAGTTATTGTACTTGACGTTTCCTCTGTGGCTGTAGCAGTGGCCACTGCAGTGGGTGCAACTGTCTGTGTTGAAGATTCCTCTGTTGAGCCTTGAGTGGTATATTGGGCTTGGCTGCTGAACGTGGACTCGGAGGTGCTTGCTTCACTGATCGAGCTAAACACTGAAGAGGTCATTGCTTCAGTAGTACTCTCTGAAGCTGATGTTGAGGTGGTGGATTGCTGAGAAAGAGTAGATCCCGTGTTTGTGACTTGGAAGGTTGTTTCCGAGGGGGTAGACTCAGTGCTAGCTTCTGATACCGTGGACGCTTCTCCCATTGTTGTATCAGTGGAGAGCTCTGTTGTCCGAGTGGAAGCAGCTGTTGTCGGTTTGATTGATGGTGTGATAGTCTCTCTCGTGGTGGGTGTCAACAGAGTTGAAAGCGTGGAGGTCTCGGTTGATGTCTCTGTGGCAGAAGAAATTGTTGTGGTAGATGTAGTTTCTGTTACAGCTGAGGATGCGTCAGTCACCATTTCTGACGTCGAGCTTTCCTCTGTTGTTGAAGCAGTAGAGGTTGAAGACGCCCCAGTCGCTGTGGTTTCTTGCGTCGTTGGCTCCACTGAGGAAGATGAAGATGCAGTAGCAAGAGAGGCAGTGTCTGTGGAGGCCGATTCAGTGGAAACAGTCAACAGTTCACTTGTTTGTGTGGTCGACGTTGCTTCTGTAGATTCCAGAGTGGACATTGTTGAGGTGGCTTCCATCGTAGTGGACGTGGTGGCGGAAACGTCAGTCAGATGCCTTTCTGTTGAAATTGATGCTTGATAAGGGCCAGGAGTTATTGTACTTGACGTTTCCTCTGTGGCTGTAGCAGTGGCTACTGCAGGGGGTGCAACTGTCTGTGTTGAAGATTCCTCTGTTGAGCCTTGAGTGGTATATTGGGCTTGGCTGCTGAACGTGGACTCGGAGGTGCTTGCTTCACTGATCGAGCTAAACACTGAAGAGGTCATTGCTTCAGTAGTACTCTCTGAAGCTGATGTTGAGGTGGTGGATTGCTGAGAAAGAGTAGATCCCGTGTTTGTGACTTGGAAGGTTGTTTCCGAGTGGGTAGACTCAGTGCTAGCTTCTGATACCGTGGACGCTTCTCCCATTGTTGTATCAGTGGAGAGCTCTGTTGTCCGAGTGGAAGCAGCTGTTGTCGGTTTGATTGATGGTGTGATAGTCTCTCTCGTGGTGGGTGTCAACAGAGTTGAAAGCGTGGAGGTCTCGGTTGATGTCTCTGGGGCAGAAGAAATGGTTGTGGTAGATGTAGTTTCTGTTACAGCTGAGGATGCGTCAGTCACCATTTCTGACGTCGAGCTTTCCTCTGTTGTTGAAGCAGTAGAGGTTGAAGACGCCCCAGTCGCTGTGGTTTCTTGCGTCGTTGGCTCCACTGAGGAAGATGAAGATGCAGTAGCAAGAGAGGCAGTGTCTGTGGAGGCCGATTCAGTGGAAACAGTCAACGGTTCACTTGTTTGTGTGGTCGACGTTGCTTCTGTAGATTCCAGAGTGGACATTGTTGAGGTGGCTTCCATCGTAGTGGACTTGGTGGCGGAAACGTCAGTCAGATGCCTTTCTGTTGAAATTGATGCTTGATTAGGGCCAGGAGTTATTGTACTTGACGTTTCCTCTGTGGCTGTAGCAGTGGCCACTGCAGGGGGTGAAACCGTCTGTGTTGAAGATTCCTCTGTTGAGCCTTGAGTGGTATATTGGGCTTGGCTGCTGAACGTGGACTCGGAGGTGCTTGCTTCACTGATCGAGCTAAACACTGAAGAGATCATTGCTTCAGTAGTACTCTCTGAAGCTGATGTTGAGGTGGTGGATTGCTGAGAAAGAGTAGATCCCGTGTTTGTGACTTGGAAGGTTGTTTCCGAGTGGGTAGACTCAGTGCTAGCTTCTGATACCGTGGACGCTTCTCCCATTGTTGTATCAGTGGAGAGCTCTGTTGTCCGAGTGGAAGCAGCTGTTGTCGGTTCGATTGATGGGGTGATAGTCTCTCTCGTGGTGGGTGTCAACAGAGTTGAAAGCGTGGAGGTCTCGGTTGATGTCTCTGTGGCAGAAGAAATGGTTGTGGTAGATGTAGTTTCTGTTACAGCTGAGGATGCGTCAGTCACCATTTCTGACGTCGAGCTTTCCTCTGTTGTTGAAGCAGTAGAGGTTGAAGACGCCCCAGTCGCTGTGGTTTCTTGCGTCGTTGGCTCCACTGAGGAAGATGAAGATGCAGTAGCAAGAGAGACAGTGTCTGTGGAGGCCGATTCAGTGGAAACAGTCAACGGTTCACTTGTTTGTGTGGTCGACGTTGCTTCTGTAGATTCCAGAGTGGACATTGTTGAGGTGGCTTCCATCGTAGTGGACTTGGTGGCGGAAACGTCAGTCAGATGCCTTTCTGTTGAAATTGATGCTTGATTAGGGCCAGGAGTTATTGTACTTGACGTTTCCTCTGTGGCTGTAGCAGTGGCCACTGCAGGGGGTGAAACCGTCTGTGTTGAAGATTCCTCTGTTGAGCCTTGAGTGGTATATTGGGCTTGGCTGCTGAACGTGGACTCGGAGGTGCTTGCTTCACTGATCGAGCTAAACACTGAAGAGATCATTGCTTCAGTAGTACTCTCTGAAGCTGATGTTGAGGTGGTGGATTGCTGAGAAAGAGTAGATCCCGTGTTTGTGACTTGGAAGGTTGTTTCCGAGTGGGTAGACTCAGTGCTAGCTTCTGATACCGTGGACGCTTCTCCCATTGTTGTATCAGTGGAGAGCTCTGTTGTCCGAGTGGAAGCAGCTGTTGTCGGTTCGATTGATGGTGTGATAGTCTCTCTCGTGGTGGGTGTCAACAGAGTTGAAAGCGTGGAGGTCTCGGTTGATGTCTCTGTGGCAGAAGAAATGGTTGTGGTAGATGTAGTTTCTGTTACAGCTGAGGATGCGTCAGTCACCATTTCTGACGTCGAGCTTTCCTCTGTTGTTGAAGCAGTAGAGGTTGAAGACGCCCCAGTCGCTGTGGTTTCTTGCGTCGTTGGCTCCACTGAGGAAGATGAAGATGCAGTAGCAAGAGAGACAGTGTCTGTGGAGGCCGATTCAGTGGAAACAGTCAACGGTTCACTTGTTTGTGTGGTCGACGTTGCTTCTGTAGATTCCAGAGTGGACATTGTTGAGGTGGCTTCCATCGTAGTGGACTTGGTGGCGGAAACGTCAGTCAGATGCCTTTCTGTTGAAATTGATGCTTGATTAGGGCCAGGAGTTATTGTACTTGACGTTTCCTCTGTGGCTGTAGCAGTGGCCACTGCAGGGGGTGAAACCGTCTGTGTTGAAGATTCCTCTGTTGAGCCTTGAGTGGTATATTGGGCTTGGCTGCTGAACGTGGACTCGGAGGTGCTTGCTTCACTGATCGAGCTAAACACTGAAGAGGTCATTGCTTCAGTAGTACTCTCTGAAGCTGATGTTGAGGTGGTGGATTGCTGAGAAAGAGTAGATCCTGTGTTTGTGACTTGGAAGGTTGTTTCCGAGGGGGTAGACTCAGTGCTAGCTTCTGATACCGTGGACGCTTCTCCCATTGTTGTATCAGTGGAGAGCTCTGTTGTCCGAGTGGAAGCAGCTGTTGTCGGTTTGATTGATGGTGTGATAGTCTCTCTCGTGGTGGGTGTCAACAGAGTTGAAAGCGTGGAGGTCTCGGTTGATGTCTCTGGGGCAGAAGAAATGGTTGTGGTAGATGTAGTTTCTGTTACAGCTGAGGATGCGTCAGTCACCATTTCTGACGTCGAGCTTTCCTCTGTTGTTGAAGCAGTAGAGGTTGAAGACGCCCCAGTCGCTGTGGTTTCTTGCGTCGTTGGCTCCACTGAGGAAGATGAAGATGCAGTAGCAAGAGAGGCAGTGTCTGTGGAGGCCGATTCAGTGGAAACAGTCAACAGTTCACTTGTTTGTGTGGTCGACGTTGCTTCTGTAGATTCCAGAGTGGACATTGTTGAGGTGGCTTCCATCGTAGTGGACGTGGTGGCGGAAACGTCAGTCAGATGCCTTTCTGTTGAAATTGATGCTTGATAAGGGCCAGGAGTTATTGTACTTGACGTTTCCTCTGTGGCTGTAGCAGTGGCCACTGCAGGGGGTGCAACTGTCTGTGTTGAAGATTCCTCTGTTGAGCCTTGAGTGGTATATTGGGCTTGGCTGCTGAACGTGGACTCGGAGGTGCTTGCTTCACTGATCGAGCTAAACACTGAAGAGGTCATTGCTTCAGTAGTACTCTCTGAAGCTGATGTTGAGGTGGTGGATTGCTGAGAAAGAGTAGATCCCGTGTTTGTGACTTGGAAGGTTGTTTCCGAGGGGGTAGACTCAGTGCTTGTTTCTGATACCGTGGACGCTTCTCCCATTGTTGTATCAGTGGAGAGCTCTGTTGTCCGAGTGGAAGCAGCTGTTGTCGGTTCGATTGATGGTGTGATAGTCTCTCTCGTGGTGGGTGTCAACAGAGTTGAAAGCGTGGAGGTCTCGGTTGATGTCTCTGTGGCAGAAGAAATGGTTGTGGTAGATGTAGTTTCTGTTACAGCTGAGGATGCGTCAGTCACCATTTCTGACGTCGAGCTTTCCTCTGTTGTTGAAGCAGTAGAGGTTGAAGACGCCCCAGTCGCTGTGGTATCTTGCGTCGTTGGCTCCACTGAGGAAGATGAAGATGCAGTAGCAAGAGAGGCAGTGTCTGTGGAGGCCGATTCAGTGGAAACAGTCAACAGTTCACTTGTTTGTGTGGTCGACGTTGCTTCTGTAGATTCCAGAGTGGACATTGTTGAGGTGGCTTCCATCGTAGTGGACGTGGTGGCGGAAACGTCAGTCAGATGCCTTTCTGTTGAAATTGATGCTTGATTAGGGCCAGGAGTTATTGTACTTGACGTTTCCTCTGTGGCTGTAGCAGTGGCCACTGCAGGGGGTGAAACCGTCTGTGTTGAAGATTCCTCTGTTGAGCCTTGAGTGGTATATTGGGCTTGGCTGCTGAACGTGGACTCGGAGGTGCTTGCTTCACTGATCGAGCTAAACACTGAAGAGGTCATTGCTTCAGTAGTACTCTCTGAAGCTGATGTTGAGGTGGTGGATTGCTGAGAAAGAGTAGATCCCGTGTTTGTGACTTGGAAGGTTGTTTCCGAGTGGGTAGACTCAGTGCTAGCTTCTGATACCGTGGACGCTTCTCCCATTGTTGTATCAGTGGAGAGCTCTGTTGTCCGAGTGGAAGCAGCTGTTGTCGGTTCGATTGATGGTGTGATAGTCTCTCTCGTGGTGGGTGTCAACAGAGTTGAAAGCGTGGAGGTCTCGGTTGATGTCTCTGTGGCAGAAGAAATGGTTGTGGTAGATGTAGTTTCTGTTACAGCTGAGGATGCGTCAGTCACCATTTCTGACGTCGAGCTTTCCTCTGTTGTTGAAGCAGTAGAGGTTGAAGACGCCCCAGTCGCTGTGGTTTCTTGCGTCGTTGGCTCCACTGAGGAAGATGAAGATGCAGTAGCAAGAGAGACAGTGTCTGTGGAGGCCGATTCAGTGGAAACAGTCAACGGTTCACTTGTTTGTGTGGTCGACGTTGCTTCTGTAGATTCCAGAGTGGACATTGTTGAGGTGGCTTCCATCGTAGTGGACTTGGTGGCGGAAACGTCAGTCAGATGCCTTTCTGTTGAAATTGATGCTTGATTAGGGCCAGGAGTTATTGTACTTGACGTTTCCTCTGTGGCTGTAGCAGTGGCCACTGCAGGGGGTGAAACCGTCTGTGTTGAAGATTCCTCTGTTGAGCCTTGAGTGGTATATTGGGCTTGGCTGCTGAACGTGGACTCGGAGGTGCTTGCTTCACTGATCGAGCTAAACACTGAAGAGGTCATTGCTTCAGTAGTACTCTCTGAAGCTGATGTTGAGGTGGTGGATTGCTGAGAAAGAGTAGATCCCGTGTTTGTGACTTGGAAGGTTGTTTCCGAGTGGGTAGACTCAGTGCTAGCTTCTGATACCGTGGACGCTTCTCCCATTGTTGTATCAGTGGAGAGCTCTGTTGTCCGAGTGGAAGCAGCTGTTGTCGGTTCGATTGATGGTGTGATAGTCTCTCTCGTGGTGGGTGTCAACAGAGTTGAAAGCGTGGAGGTCTCGGTTGATGTCTCTGTGGCAGAAGAAATGGTTGTGGTAGATGTAGTTTCTGTTACAGCTGAGGATGCGTCAGTCACCATTTCTGACGTCGAGCTTTCCTCTGTTGTTGAAGCAGTAGAGGTTGAAGACGCCCCAGTCGCTGTGGTTTCTTGCGTCGTTGGCTCCACTGAGGAAGATGAAGATGCAGTAGCAAGAGAGACAGTGTCTGTGGAGGCCGATTCAGTGGAAACAGTCAACGGTTCACTTGTTTGTGTGGTCGACGTTGCTTCTGTAGATTCCAGAGTGGACATTGTTGAGGTGGCTTCCATCGTAGTGGACTTGGTGGCGGAAACGTCAGTCAGATGCCTTTCTGTTGAAATTGATGCTTGATTAGGGCCAGGAGTTATTGTACTTGACGTTTCCTCTGTGGCTGTAGCAGTGGCCACTGCAGGGGGTGCAACTGTCTGTGTTGAAGATTCCTCTGTTGAGCCTTGAGTGGTATATTGGGCTTGGCTGCTGAACGTGGACTCGGAGGTGCTTGCTTCACTGATCGAGCTAAACACTGAAGAGGTCATTGCTTCAGTAGTACTCTCTGAAGCTGATGTTGAGGTGGTGGATTGCTGAGAAAGAGTAGATCCCGTGTTTGTGACTTGGAAGGTTGTTTCCGAGGGGGTAGACTCAGTGCTTGCTTCTGATACCGTGGACGCTTCTCCCATTGTTGTATCAGTGGAGAGCTCTGTTGTCCGAGTGGAAGCAGCTGTTGTCGGTTCGATTGATGGTGTGATAGTCTCTCTCGTGGTGGGTGTCAACAGAGTTGAAAGCGTGGAGGTCTCGGTTGATGTCTCTGTGGCAGAAGAAATGGTTGTGGTAGATGTAGTTTCTGTTACAGCTGAGGATGCGTCAGTCACCATTTCTGACGTCGAGCTTTCCTCTGTTGTTGAAGCAGTAGAGGTTGAAGACGCCCCAGTCGCTGTGGTATCTTGCGTCGTTGGCTCCACTGAGGAAGATGAAGATGCAGTAGCAAGAGAGGCAGTGTCTGTGGAGGCCGATTCAGTGGAAACAGTCAACAGTTCACTTGTTTGTGTGGTCGACGTTGCTTCTGTAGATTCCAGAGTGGACATTGTTGAGGTGGCTTCCATCGTAGTGGACGTGGTGGCGGAAACGTCAGTCAGATGCCTTTCTGTTGAAATTGATGCTTGATAAGGGCCAGGAGTTATTGTACTTGACGTTTCCTCTGTGGCTGTAGCAGTGGCCACTGCAGGGGGTGAAACCGTCTGTGTTGAAGATTCCTCTGTTGAGCCTTGAGTGGTATATTGGGCTTGGCTGCTGAACGTGGACTCGGAGGTGCTTGCTTCACTGATCGAGCTAAACACTGAAGAGGTCATTGCTTCAGTAGTACTCTCTGAAGCTGATGTTGAGGTGGTGGATTGCTGAGAAAGAGTAGATCCCGTGTTTGTGACTTGGAAGGTTGTTTCCGAGTGGGTAGACTCAGTGCTAGCTTCTGATACCGTGGACGCTTCTCCCATTGTTGTATCAGTGGAGAGCTCTGTTGTCCGAGTGGAAGCAGCTGTTGTCGGTTCGATTGATGGTGTGATAGTCTCTCTCGTGGTGGGTGTCAACAGAGTTGAAAGCGTGGAGGTCTCGGTTGATGTCTCTGTGGCAGAAGAAATGGTTGTGGTAGATGTAGTTTCTGTTACAGCTGAGGATGCGTCAGTCACCATTTCTGACGTCGAGCTTTCCTCTGTTGTTGAAGCAGTAGAGGTTGAAGACGCCCCAGTCGCTGTGGTTTCTTGCGTCGTTGGCTCCACTGAGGAAGATGAAGATGCAGTAGCAAGAGAGACAGTGTCTGTGGAGGCCGATTCAGTGGAAACAGTCAACGGTTCACTTGTTTGTGTGGTCGACGTTGCTTCTGTAGATTCCAGAGTGGACATTGTTGAGGTGGCTTCCATCGTAGTGGACTTGGTGGCGGAAACGTCAGTCAGATGCCTTTCTGTTGAAATTGATGCTTGATAAGGGCCAGGAGTTATTGTACTTGACGTTTCCTCTGTGGCTGTAGCAGTGGCCACTGCAGGGGGTGAAACCGTCTGTGTTGAAGATTCCTCTGTTGAGCCTTGAGTGGTATATTGGGCTTGGCTGCTGAACGTGGACTCGGAGGTGCTTGCTTCACTGATCGAGCTAAACACTGAAGAGGTCATTGCTTCAGTAGTACTCTCTGAAGCTGATGTTGAGGTGGTGGATTGCTGAGAAAGAGTAGATCCCGTGTTTGTGACTTGGAAGGTTGTTTCCGAGTGGGTAGACTCAGTGCTAGCTTCTGATACCGTGGACGCTTCTCCCATTGTTGTATCAGTGGAGAGCTCTGTTGTCCGAGTGGAAGCAGCTGTTGTCGGTTCGATTGATGGTGTGATAGTCTCTCTCGTGGTGGGTGTCAACAGAGTTGAAAGCGTGGAGGTCTCGGTTGATGTCTCTGTGGCAGAAGAAATGGTTGTGGTAGATGTAGTTTCTGTTACAGCTGAGGATGCGTCAGTCACCATTTCTGACGTCGAGCTTTCCTCTGTTGTTGAAGCAGTAGAGGTTGAAGACGCCCCAGTCGCTGTGGTTTCTTGCGTCGTTGGCTCCACTGAGGAAGATGAAGATGCAGTAGCAAGAGAGACAGTGTCTGTGGAGGCCGATTCAGTGGAAACAGTCAACGGTTCACTTGTTTGTGTGGTCGACGTTGCTTCTGTAGATTCCAGAGTGGACATTGTTGAGGTGGCTTCCATCGTAGTGGACTTGGTGGCGGAAACGTCAGTCAGATGCCTTTCTGTTGAAATTGATGCTTGATTAGGGCCAGGAGTTATTGTACTTGACGTTTCCTCTGTGGCTGTAGCAGTGGCCACTGCAGGGGGTGCAACTGTCTGTGTTGAAGATTCCTCTGTTGAGCCTTGAGTGGTATATTGGGCTTGGCTGCTGAACGTGGACTCGGAGGTGCTTGCTTCACTGATCGAGCTAAACACTGAAGAGGTCATTGCTTCAGTAGTACTCTCTGAAGCTGATGTTGAGGTGGTGGATTGCTGAGAAAGAGTAGATCCTGTGTTTGTGACTTGGAAGGTTGTTTCCGAGGGGGTAGACTCAGTGCTAGCTTCTGATACCGTGGACGCTTCTGCCATTGTTGTATCAGTGGAGAGCTCTGTTGTCCGAGTGGAAGCAGCTGTTGTCGGTTCGATTGATGGGGTGATAGTCTCTCTCGTGGTGGGTGTCAACATAGTTGAAAGCGTGGAGGTCTCGGTTGATGTCTCTGGGGCAGAAGAAATGGTTGTGGTAGATGTAGTTTCTGTTACAGCTGAGGATGCGTCAGTCACCATTTCTAACATCGAGCTTTCCTCTGTTGTTGAAGCAGTAGAGGTTGAAGACGCCCCAGTGGCTGTGGTTTCTTGCGTCGTTGGCTCCACTGAGGAAGATGAAGATGCAGTAGCAAGAGAGGCAGTGTCTGTGGGTGCCGATTCAGTGGAAACAGTCAAAGGTTCACTTGTTTGTGTGGTCGACGTTGCTTCTGTAGATTCCAGAGTGGACATTGTTGAGGTGGCTTCCATCGTAGTGGACTTGGTGGCGGAAACGTCAGTCAGCTGCCTTTCTGTTGAAATTGATGCTTGATAAGGGCCATGAGTTATTGTACTTGACGTTTCCTCTGTGGCTGTAGCAGTGGCCACTGCAGGGGGTGAAACCGTCTGTGTTGAAGATTCCTCTGTTGAGCCTTGAGTGGTATATTGGGCTTGGCTGCTGAACGTGGACTCGGAGGTGCCTGCTTCACTGATCGAGCTAAACACTGAAGAGGTCATTGCTTCAGTAGTACTCTGTGAAGCTGATGTTGAGGTGGTGGATTGCTGAGAAAGAGTAGATCCTGTGTTTGTCTCTGTGGCAGAAGAAATGGTTGTGGTAGATGTAGTTTCTGTTACAGCTGAGGATGCCTCAGTCACCATTTCTGACGTCGAGCTTTCCTCTGTTGTTGAAGCAGTAGAGGCTGAAGACGCCCCAGTCGCTGTGGTTTCTTGCGTCGTTGGCTCCACTGAGGAAGATGAAGATGCAGTAGCAAGAGAGGCAGTGTCTGTGGAGGTCGATTCAGTGGAAACAGTCAATGGTTCACTTATTTCTCTGGTCGACGTTGCTTCTGTAGATTCCAGAGTGGACATTGTTGAGGTGGCTTCCATCGTAGTGGACTTGGTGGCGGAAACGTCAGTCAGCTGCCTTTCTGTTGAAATTGATGCTTGATAAGGGCCATGAGTTATTGTACTTGACGTTTCCTCTGTGGCTGTAGCAGTGGCCACTGCAGGGGGTGAAACCGTCTGTGTTGAAGATTCCTCTGTTGAGCCTTGAGTGGTATATTGGGCTTGGCTGCTGAACGTGGACTCGGAGGTGCTTGCTTCACTGATCGAGCTAAACACTGAAGAGGTCATTGCTTCAGTAGTACTCTCTGAAGCTGATGTTGAGGTGGTGGATTGCTGAGAAAGAGTAGATCCTGTGTTTGTGACTTGGAAGGTTGTTTCCGAGGGGGTAGACTCAGTGCTAGCTTCTGATACCGTGGACGCTTCTCCCATTGTTGTATCAGTGGAGAGCTCTGTTGTCCGAGTGGAAGCAGCTGTTGTCGGTTCGATTGATGGTGTGATAGTCTCTCTCGTGGTGGGTGTCAACAGAGTTGAAAGCGTGGAGGTCTCGGTTAATGTCTCTATGGCAGAAGAAATGGTTGTGGTAGATGTAGTTTCTGTTACAGCTGAGGATGCGACAGTCACCATTTCTGACGTCGAGCTTTCCTCTGTTGTTGAAGCAGTAGAGGTTGAAGACGCCCCAGTCGCTGTGGTTTCTTGCGTCGTTGGCTCCACTGAGGAAGATGAAGATGCAGTAGCAAGAGAGGCAGTGTCTGTGGGTGCCGATTCAGTGGAAACAGTCAACGTTTCACTTGTTTCTGTGGTCGACGTTGCTTCTGTAGATTCCAGAGTGGACATTGTTGAGGTGGCTTCCATCGTAGTGTTTGCGTAGTTGTTTGTGTCATTTGCTTCAGACCTTGGTTCTGATACATCCAACTTTATTATGTTTTCCATTTTCAGCATATTTATATTTTCTTTGGTATTTTTATCGTTGTTTGCACGGGTCGATAGAGAACTTCGCACTTCGAAAATCTGGAAGAAATTTGGTTTCATCGTTTTATATTAGATTTAAAACACGCATTCCGCACATTTTAATCTGAAGAGATGGGACTATTGCGTTGTACAATTACACTAGCATACTTTGAATACACTTTCAAAATGAGAACCCACGTGGTTTGACCATGGTAGTTAATATCCGAAAGTGGTAATTATGAAATGTTTCTCATGTTAACTTAATTAGGATCCGTATGTTTCACATTGATGTTGGGAAGAAATTGGCTATTACCTCAGAGGTGTTTGATAGTGCTCGCATCCAAGTGATATTGGAGCCTTCAATATGTATAGGTACATTCTCCTCACGCTGTTGTCCAGCAGTTTCTGTAAGTTGGAGAATTCTGTGTTAGAGTAATATACATCTGGTTATTAACTTTAATCAACCTGGTCATATGTCCTGTGAAGATTCTGGGTTAGAATTGGTCCTCAGCAACCCATGCTTGTACCACGCACCTAATGGGATGGGATGGTCAAGCTCGCTGATGCATGTCATCGCATCCCATCTGCGTCAATCACTGGGTTATCTGATTATATGGCTGAATGCGGCGTTAAACAACAAACAAACACAAAAACACACAAACATACCTATTCATACCGTACCGTCGTTTTCATTTTGAGTATAGTTTTACTGAGTGGAAATTGTATTTTGCTTTGAAGACGGGCGAGGTTTGAAACCTATTGCTGATTTATTCTTTTTATAAATATGTTAGTGACCCTTGGATAAGGACATGTTCCGTCAATGTTTTGTGAATAAAATGTACCCTTTTCTACACAGAAATAACATTATTGCGTACATGATTGCTGTATTGAAGTACCGAATGTGACTAACCTGCGCTGAGGAGAAGGAGAACCAGTCTACACAGCATCACGGCGTGACGACATACACACAAACTGATGACGTCATGATTCATTCCGCACTATTCAGTTCCCCTTTGAATCATCTGGGCAGGTAGACCGGTCCTGCAACATTAAAACATCACACACAGTAATAATGTAGTCGGTATATTCTCAAATTGATTTGCCAGTCATTAGTTTTGCACTTACATACGCGCGGTTGTGTGTGTGTGTGTGTGTGTGCGCGCGCGCGTGGGCGTGCGTTAGTGTGTGTGCGCGCGTGTATGTGTGTGTGTGGTGTTTGTGTCTGTGTGTGCATGTGTGTGTGCGTGAGTGCGTGTGGGTGCGTGCTTGCGTGCGCGCGGGACAAGCCGAATACCAGGTTACAGAAAGGGGCGGGTGGTGACGAATGGGTGAGATAAGACCATTGTGACGTCATCGATTACATTACGTCATAATCATATGACATCACTACTCTTTCTGCCACTGACTATGACTAGTGTACTTTTTTACACTAACTACACTGGTTATCACTGTTATTACAAACTGAAAAGTTGCAAGATTGAACGGGGAGCCTAGAGGATAAAGTGTTCACACGCCAGGTAGAAGGCACGGTTTCCATTCTCAATATAAAATAGTGAAGGCCATCCTCCCTGTTTCCAGTGATGATATAGGTGGAATAATGTTATTAAGAGCAGCATAAACAATCCACTCATTGTATACAACATCCGTATGTTAACAGACTGACGATAGAACTTAACGCCACGGGTCATTTGAATTCCACGCGTTCAACGATTGCTTTGACTGTGTTATCAGACTCTGGAGTACCAACAAAGGAATATCAGTCAACGATAACATGGATCACGCTGACCTATACATTAATGATAAGGGCAAGTTTAAGATAGGTTTCACTCAAGCGTCGATACGAATACAAATCTATAACGATTAGCAAGATATGGAGATGAATCCTTGTTTATCTCTGAATAAGCCTGAATTAATATATTGTCATTTGTTATCACACGGATATGTTGAAATGGGGAAACAAATACCTAATTCACTAGTTAGACTAGTTATACTATCTTTTCCAATACATTGTTTGAACAACGCATCGGCAAACACTTACTTTTTAAGGAAAGTATGTAAGCGGTGGGTGCTACTGTAGAGTAGGACTTGCTCACCTTTTCATGAACACATGGTGTCATGACTGATATGATTGATCCACTCATATGATTTTCACTGCTGCCTTTTGCTCTCTTCTGAATCGGTTTCGGCGGATGATCAAGACGCTTTATTTCCCTGGCTTTGACAGTTTATATCTAAAGGTACAGGGGGCACGGGTGGCCCAGTCGTCTAAGGCGTCGCGATTCGCTGTGCAGAGTTGCGTCCCTTGGGCACGCCAGAAACCTATGGTTGTGGGTTCGAATCCCGGTTCGCCCCGTTTATGTTTCTAGGTCTGTCAGCACCATACCCGTGCTCGTGGGTTTCACCGAAGTGGTAAAATCACCGACAATGATTTCGGCATGACAAAGGTAAACACTATCATGTTTATTCTAATTCTCGGGATAACAATGGGAATTGTAGCAATTAAGATCGCGCTCATATAACTGAGGTACAAGACTGACCCTGTATTCCCATCCACGAAATATGTCCACGAGAAGGATACATTCTTGAGATTTAAACTTTCCTCCCACATTAAGCTGACACGCGGTGATATAACTGGAATACTGTTAAAAGCGGCGTTAGACTCAACTCACTCACTCACTCTAAAGGTACAACTATTTTCTTCGAATAATGATAACAATCAAGATATAGTTTATATAACACGCCCATGCTTGTTTTCAACGTAGGTTCTTAAACATTAATGGGTCTATGAATTCCGTGTTTCAAACTTACATATCTCACGCAACATTTCAAGGTCGATAGGAAGCAATAGGGACCAACTTAACCTGTAACAGACTAACGTCAGTTGGTGATAATATGTCTAATGTTCTGTGCAGGTGTCACGTGTTGTGTAGTGAGCTGATATAAGGGTGGAGTGTGGTAGGTAAGCATGACTGCACCCTCCCCAGTGTACGTGTAGGTATTGCCCTGTGTAGATGTGTGGTAGGTCAGCATGACTGCACCCTCCCCAGTGTACGTGTAGGTATTGCCCTGTGTAGATGTGTGGTAGCTGGGTAGCGAGAGTGGTGGAGATCAATGTAAATCCTTCAAGGCGTTAGGGCGAAGCAGAGGTCCTAGCTCCTCTCACTAATTAAGTCAGATAAAAGTCCGTTTTATCAAATCGTTAAACACAACACTCCCCAAGATAGATATAGATGTATATTAGATCACTTTGTCAAAACATTATCACCTGACTTGACATGAAGGTACTGAAGTTATGTCACGTTACTGTTATGAAACTCTTGCATGTTACAGCCTTCAACCTTTTACGCTTTGTAGGTGATAATGTAATTAAATCATAACTTCATTTTATCTTACATCTGCAAATATTTGTATATCACAATAACTCCATTACTTAATGTGTTGGTGCACTCCCTCACCTAATATATTGTTGCACTGCATTACTAAATATTTTTGCATTCCATCACTTATATATATATATTATATATTGTTGCATTCCATTACTTGATATGTTTTTGCGCACCATTACTTGGTATTTTGTAGCACTCTATTACTCAGTATATTGCTGCACGCCATTACCTAATATATCGTCACACGACAATACTGAATAATTGTTGCACTCCGTTATTTAAGGTGAGATGAGGAGAAATGGGGTTTAACGTCGCGTTCAAGGTTACCGCACTTATATAGAGACGTGCATGCGCGTGTGTGTCGTGTGTTTGTGTGTTTGTGTGTGTGTGTGTGTGTGTGTGTATGTGTGTGGCTGATTTCAGTGCCTAGTAAATAGTTCTAGATCACTGAGATATCATGCCCCTTAATGCCGAACGCCAGACAGTGTGACAACAAGTACCATCTTTAAAAGTCTTTTGGTATGACACGGCCGGGGATCGAACCCATAACTTCCGCTCTCCGGGCAGACGCTCTACAACCTTTTATTGCTTAATATAGTGTCGAATTCTGTTACTTAAGATATTGTTGAACCCCTTTACTTAATATATTGATTACTCCATTACTTAATATATTGCCACACTCCATTACTTGTTGCACTCCATTACTTAAAATATTATTGCACTCCAATGTTTAACATATTGTTGCACTCCATAACTCAACTTATTGTTGCATCCCATTACTTTACTTATTGTTGCACGCCTTTACTTTTAAGACTAGTCGGGTGCAGTTTGTCTGTGCATTTCAGTCAATCAATCAAAACAATTAATTTTTTTAAAATCAATTAAAAAACCGTGACCCGATGATAATGAATCTATCGGACATGATGGTACGTCGGATTAATTCGAATCCAGGTAAATTATTGAGTGAGTGTGTTTTATGCTACACCGCTTTTGGCAACATTCAATCCTTACATCCAACACCGCACATGGGTTTCATGTGTGCCCATGTGGAGATTCGAAACCCAGCGCTTTGGCCGCTAGGCTCCTATACGTTCTGCGAGGTCACAATGCTAGAGTAGGAAGACTTTCTATTTAGCCCACAATTAACGTAACACGAGAAAGAAATTCAAACAACCCAGCTAAATACTGGAAATCGTGAACTTAATGCGTTAAGTTCTGAATCAACACTTGGAACTATGAAATCTTCGTCGATGACGAAGGCAAGGCTATTTTCTTTAATTTCAAGTAGAAGTTACCCAGACTACTGACAATAACTATCTGTAAATAGGTATGACTTTACCTACTACACGCATGCCCCCATACATCAACAGTCTACTTATCCAGACTCATGTATAGCACACTGACACCAGGATCTCGCTAACAGATATCTCCACCATCTGAACAAGAACTGTTTAGGGACACGTCATATAAACTATGTCTTGATTGTTATCATTATTCCTAGAAAATGGTTGTACCTTTAGAGTGAGTGAGTGAGTTGGGTCTAACGCCGCTTTTAACAGTATTCCAGTTATATCACGGCGTGTCAGCTTTATGTGGGGGGAAAGTTTAAATCTCGCACAAGAATGTATCCTTCTCGTGGACATATTTCGTGGATGGGAATACAGGGTCAGTCTTGTACCTCAGTAATATGAGCGCGATCTAAATTGCTACAATTCCTATTGCTATCCCGATAATTAAAATACAAATTATGGTGTTTACCTTTGTCATGCCGAAATTATTGTCGGTGATTTTACCACTTCGGTGAAACCCACGAGCAAGGGTATGG